CTAAAAAAGTTATCTGTTAGGTCTTTTAAAATTCAGTTACACAGTTTCTTAATCAATTCTCAAAATCATTCGTAATAAATTGAAATCATATTAATCTTTAGTACCAATTTTGTTACAGAATATGCTTCTTGTTTTGCTTTGTTTTTGTTTTTTTTTTTCTCTTTTTCCTCTTTCAATAGAAATTTCTTTATCATTTTATGATTTTATCTTTCAACAATGATTAATGTATGTATTCGATCCAAATACGATATTACGTTTATTTTTTGTTTTTTTTTGCACTCGTACAAGATAAATGGTTTTAATTATAATTTTTCAGTCATTTCACGTAGTTATAAGATGTAAAATTATAGTAAGGGTTAAGTGGTAGAGCAGGGCTTGTGGGCGAATTTCGTCACTAGCATCTGAACTTCGCCCTTTTAGTTGCGTACATAGTATATGTATAGTAAACAATGTTTTATTGTAAAAATAACTGTACGTGATTAATAAATGGCATTATTATTATTATTAGTGTCGGAAGATCTATTCCTTGTAATGAAAAAGTAATGTACGTAGAATTAGCACGATCGAAGCAATTCACAAGAGCAATAGCTCCAAAAGGTTTCGTAATACGTAATGTCCCAGATCTTAAGATGGCGGTCAAGTAATTTTCCAAGGTGTGGCAGTCAAATTCTGTGTAGGTACATATTTCACAGCGGATGTCGACGTAAGTAGTATTCCAGGGAGATAATAACAAAATAAAATTAAGGAAAAAGTTAACCAGAAAAGAAAAAGAGAGCTGACAAAGCCCTAAAAGCAATTACATGTTAAGAATAATACTACGTCATTAAAAATGGGTACCTACTTCAGAGCGTAAATCCGCTAAGCGTAATCAATGGAGCAAAACTATAGAAAAACGCTCCAAAGAATTATTATTCAATACAAAACAGCCCTTTTCAGATAGACATAAGTCAAGTAATGGCGTGCTAAAAACATTCAGAAGTAACCACCATAAGAGCAGAACAGTTTGTACGCAATACAGAATTAAAGAAGAAGGGATAGAATTAAATGCAGAAAGGTACATAGCATGATCTCTAGCGAAAAAAAATGAAGTAAGGTAAATGAAACTTACTCCACTAACTACATCTAAACTAAACGGATTTACAGAGAACATACATAATAGATGGCGTAAGAATCTCGAATTGGAATATAACTTTGAAATTTAAATTTAAAAACGTTACAACACTGTCATGTGATGTGTTCAATACAGTGAACACGATTTAGCTGTTACCATTTAGAGATCCCCTACTCTTGAATCGCTCACTTGGACATAGTAGGCAGGTATCATATTTTCTGTTTTATTTATAATTCGGAAGACTCACTAACATGTGGCACAAATAAAAAAATTGAAAAAAAATTAAATTACGGAGAAATGGGCAAAATCATTTCGTGATTTAAAGGAGAATAGAAAACGGTACCTCGGGACTAGGCTAGCGTTGTGACGTCAGCTGCCTTCTAAACTCGGGCAGCTTTATTTTTTTATATGAGCTGTAAAAAAGTACACACTGTATGTACTAGTAGTTTTAATTACGAATACAACAATATACGGCACACACAAAAAAAGCAAAAGTTGGAAACTGTTGGTTTCAACAGGATGGTGCACTCACGCACAACGCGCAAATCGTGCGCGAATACCTATCGGAGAAATTTTCAGCAGGTTATATGTACCATAGTTTTGAAACAAGCATTTTTGCCTGGAATCTGTTTCAGGGGAGGATTTATTGGAGTTTAAACTGTATAAGGGAGACGAATTGGGGTGTAGCAGAGGGCGTAGTGGTCATTTTTGTGTGAGCTGCGACTACCATTCACGTAATCTTATATTTCATTTAATGTGACTTAATTAATTTATATAGAGGGTCTCACATTTATCTTGAGACAGTCGATTATTGCGGAAACTAGCGGCGATATCAAAAAATGATTTGTATGAAATCTTCTTGTAAGTAAAAGGGCTCATTTAATGATGCTATGAACGTCTACACATAACTACCCCTTAAGGATCAAGTGTAGAGCACCTATATTTTTTAAATAGAAACCTATACCATTTATTGAATATTCTTACTCTACATCAAAAAATAATAAACCCTCATGGGAAACGTTTTTTCCCTATACATACTATTTCTTGAAGGCCCTCTTCTAAAAAGTGCTATTTTTGGTTTGAGCAGGGGTTTGAGCTAAGAAGCTGTTCTGTTAAGAATTTGGCACATTTTTTAAGTAATGGTTTGTCGTATTTGATATATGAAAAAAACAACGTTTTTGAAAATTGTTTACAATTTTACACAAAAGGGGAAGTAGAAACTACAGTAAAAGAAGATAATGTTCCAGTGAAAATAAAAACAATTGATCCGATGTATCTAAACTAGAAATTATGGTAAATGCGAGGGTAAATGACGAAGTTTAACGAGCTTCCTCGACTATCCGATCTCGTAAATCAAACTGTATAAACTGTAATGCGATAAATAAGAATCTAAACTGTCCTTTAAATAGTGTCATTGTTCAAAGATTTCGTGTTTACCACAAATACATAAATAACACGAAGTACATTTCCATAAAGGGGATGTGCTAAAAATACGAGAATGTTCAGTCAGGAATGAGACGCCACGTAAAAAATTAGTACCACATTTGGGAATTAGACGATTGCAAAATATATAGTAATTTGACAAATGTAAGAATACGGTCAAAAGAGGAATGGCACTTTGCATAATACTTCATGAGTAATATTTTGTGAACAAATCCAAAGGTAATAAAATAGTGTCGTAAAAATGGCAGTTGTAGATAATTATAATTTGCAAATCGCAATATGGACGATATAGTCTCACGTATATTCAACTACTCAATTAACACTTACTTGAGTAATGTAATAATAATAAATGTGCTAAAAGGATTCGTGGAAAACATTCTTGGAAAGTAAAATAAAAGTCGTCATGTGATGAAGATGACTTTGAGAAACACGAAAATACCTATACAGCAATAGGTATCTCAGTCTTTTAGGGACGCCAAAAATATTTCTCAAAGGGAGAAAAAAATTTAATATCTTTAATTTGGGGAAGTTAAAAGATATCAAGCATACTAATTTAGTAAAATTCTTAATCTTGCAAAACGCTATATTAAGCAAGTACAAAGGAGAGATAATCGGAAAGCGACCCTTAATTAAAGACTTGTCTTGCAATCTATATCTGATGAACGTGAGTCGGAGACAAATTCCGGCACGGAATGGAAAAAGGCGTTTTAATTTTACTAGTTGCGGAAAAGGAGATTTTATGTAATTATAAGATGCGGAAAATAAAGAAAAAACTCGGCGACGTTTATTTATTGGCGGGCGAAATTTAATTAAAGCTCGGCGAAAATTGCGAGCTTGGATAAATATTTACATTTTTCAAGGGCGTATGTTGGAAGTATTTCCTCATTAGCGTCCAATGGAAATTTGTTTAAGCGAAGTTGGATTATTAAAGATCGTGTCACAAGCGAGCCGCCTTTACCGTCAAAGATAATATAGTAAAATGTGCATTTAGCAAATAGTGTAGCCAATATGCTGTATTGTCGAGAACGTGATTTGCAGTAAAAAGCAGCTTGTGTGGCTCGTCATCTTAAAGAAGAGACACTAAACACACACGTTTTGCATTTCAAACAATACAAACCACCCTGGCGGTTCCGAGCGAACAATCTGCCCGATACGGCCGATTACCTCCATTTCTCGATTACTTCTGGATTAGTTACGACATTAAAATCGTCGCCTCCACTTTAACATTATCATAACTACCAGACTTCTTTTTCTTTAACGTCTATAGGTATCGAAATTGAATTCCAGTAAATTCATATATCCTTCACAATAGCGCAGAGAGTCCCTCAAGGGTTTTGATTCAATGCTCGACTTCGGAGATGGGATATGCAATACTCTAAAGGGAAGAAAACTACTGTGATATCAACACTTTGGGTATTGTAGATGGAAACGATTGCTTTTGGTGGTCGAGTAATTTACAAGAAAACTAATTTTGAAAGATTAACCCGATGTCCTCAAGCACTTACGATGTAATCATATCCAGGAAATGAATAAATTTTCAATATTCTTTTATTGCTGCCACAAGGATCGGTATTAAAGGAAACCCAATTACGTAGGCGTAAATTTAATAATAAATCAATCCTATTACTGTGTAAGAGAATTTGTGGCAATTGCACGGCCGCCGGTAGATTTCCATATCGCACAATCAATCCAATTTAGAATGGCACTTCAATACACCTTTAGTTATATTGTGCTAAGAAAATCCAGTTCGTATATTTCAGATTTCAGGAGTGTTTTAGAATTTATACGGATCAGATTAGCCTAGGTTAACTATATAAATAACAGTTTATGCTAAGTACAAACGGTTAAACGCCCGGTATAAAAAATCGATAACGCATTTTTCAATAATGCTGCGGAATGGTTCACGACCCCAACCAAATCAGTTCCTCGCTGGATATCTGTATGAAAAAAAAACTTCCCTTTTCGTAGTGGTTAAGGAATTCCACTACGCATCAAACACCTGCCGCCTTTCTCAAACAAAAAGACGAAACTCAAAAGGAAGTGATTATATACTAATGATATGGAAATCCAGTTTTTCCTGAACATTGGAATAAGTTTATCATTAAACGAAATTGAAAGGCGCGGAATAAAAAGCGAATCCAATTACGTTTAATTACTAAAAACTGGAGGTGACAATGATCTTGTGGCCTGCAAAGCTGTGTCGATTATCATTTCTTCGTTGCAAATGCTTCACATCGGCAATAAACATACTAGCGATAAACGTCTCATTGTCTTTTCCTTTTGCGGTTTCTAAAGCGAACCTGTTAGTATCTTCCATGTTGGGAGACGGGAGTTGCTAACTACTACCTATAAAATCTGTTATCGCGCACGGAAAAAAAAGCTCTGTCACATATACAAGAAGGGTTTATAATTATTCGTCAAATTCACATTGGTTTTATTTTTGCAGATCGTCGAACTACAACAATTTCACCGGGGAATGCGAACTGTCGAGTATGGATAGAATCACATTAGCGGGTAGTACCGCATTTCAACAAGCAAACGGGTACGAGTATTTAGAAAATAACTGCGTCGAAGAGCCGACTAAACTTTGCGAATTCAAAAAGCTGAAAGGCCGCATCATGAAAACGGTAGATTCTGTATATCAAGATGTTGGATCGGTAGATGAATGTCGCGAACTTTGCCTTAACTCACCTTACCGTTGCCATTCCTACGATTATGGTGATACCGGTGATATGGTCTGTCGTCTTAGCCATCACTCACGCGCCACCTTAGCCGACATACAGGTAACACTCGAAAGCATCGTAAGATGTTGTTCTAAATAAATTGGTTTCTAGGATCCTTACCTTGACGTTCCAGAAGGGGCGACGTACGAACTTAGCTCATGTTACAACGTAAGCATCGACTGCCGCTCTGGTGACATGGTCGCCCGTATTCAAACTAGCAAACTGTTCGATGGAAAGATTTACGCTAAAGGTAGCCCTAACTCTTGCGTACGGGACGTTAATAACAGCTTGGAATTTGAATTGCACATGGCATACGACGATCTCGAATGTAACGTTAAAAAGAATGGCCTTGGAAGATATGTTAATGACGTTGTAATACAGCATCATGACAAAATAGTAACGAGCTCCGATTTAGGACTTGCAGTCACCTGCCAGTACGATTTAACTAACAAAAGCGTTACAAACGAGGTGGATTTAGGAGTTCACGGAGACATTCAACCCGCTCTATCGGAAGAAGTCACCGTCGACTCGCCGAACGTCGCGATGAAAATTACGGACAGAAGTGGAGGAGACGTTATGCCCACCGCCGAAGTTGGAGATCCTCTTGCACTTCGTTTCGAGATTATCGACAAGAACAGCCCCTACGAAATTTTTGTTCGGGATTTGGTGGCAATGGACGGTGTGGATTCTAGCGAGATCGTTTTAATAGACTCATCCGGCTGCCCTACGGACCACTTTATTATGGGACCCATTTACAAGTCGGCGGATTCGGGAAAGGTATTTATTCTTAAACTTAAGCCAACAGAATTCATAATCTAAGTTCCGTGTTTCCATACGTTTCGATAGGGGAAGCTTGCATTGAAAATGTTCAGCATATTTACTTACATTACAGTCAAGTATGGAATAAAAATCTACGTTCTGTTTGACATACATACACACTATATAGTTTGAAAATGAAAATTTTCTATAACGTCAGTCAATAATAGCTATATTCTTTCCAATGTTACTAGGGTTATAATTGGAGACCTTTAAATTATTAACACTTCTGTTGTTATAAGAATTTTATTACCTACTCTTACCAGACAAATTATAATGAACAGTCAGGATACACAAAATTTAAAAAATGTCCGTATCAATTTTATATTGGTCTCAATGGAAAGGGCTCTCTTATAATGAAATCAAATTTTACATAAATTGATCTTGTAAATATACGTGATGAGTGGTAGAGGGCGCGGTTTAACAATAACATAAACCTTGCATGTTTTCTTGAAAATTTCATATAAGCTGGGAGCTATACTGTAAGTCTTAATAGTACAAGTGTAACATTTTTGAAAGGTTTGTTTAGGTTAGCAGTCATCTAATATTTATTGAGGAGTGTCCCTTTGAATTTAGCATTCCCATTCACTCACTTTATGCATTGACGTTTTCGTCGTTTCAAAGCAATTGTGATTTTTGAATTACTTTGAAATCATTAAATTGTATCCAGCGACATCCGAACACACCAATTTATTTATACCCCCACTCCCTGCCTACACTAAATTAATTCAAGAATTTATCCGAACTGGGCGCTATACTATAATTTTGAATAGTACAGAGTGTCCTATTAATAAAGGTCACACATTATTGAACAAAATATGCCAAGAAAAATCGCTGGAAATTATTTTCAGGTTTCTAGGTTTGCCGCTAGAGGGCGTACGATTAATGGTTAAGTAGAAAATGATTTTTTCCCTAAAATATACCCAACAAACACGCATAAAAGTACATTAATCTTGTATGAATTTTGGATCATTTTGATGCAGCACATATTGCTGGAGTGGGGGAAGGGGAACATATTTTTGAGGAATTGAATGTGACTTCGGTTTTTGTGAACCGATTTTCAGAGGAGAAAATTACTCTTCGGGTAATCAGAGTATTTTTAGGAATGTGATGACTGATAAGTGGTAGAGGGCGCGGTTTGACAATACAATAAACTTTGCAGATTTTCTTCAAAATTTCAAATGGAGCGGCATAATTATTATATGGTCGTATTTAACCTAGCACCAAAGTAATATTGATATGATTTCCAAATATTTATCTTGTGTCACCAAAAATCATAGTTGAGCACCAAAATTTAATTACTAAATTATTTATTTTTGAGCCTCAAAATATTGAATTTTAAAGTTTTTTTTATATATTTGAACAACTAATTATTGTTGACATCACAAATCTTACTTAAACACTAAATTATCGAATAAGATGGAAAATTGAAAACATCTGTGAAATCCGCATTTTGATATCTTATGGTAAAATACGCACATTCACAAATTTAAATTGCAATATTTATATTGATCCAAGTTGGCTTTGAAACAAAAAAACACATAACAAGCGATAAATAAAATAATAATTAACAAACAAAACAAATATTCTAATTTTTAATCAAATTTAAAATCAGTTTCTTTTGTTTCAAAGCCAACCATATCTTTACTTAAAAAATAGATAATCAAAATGCGGTTTCCACTGATATTCTCACTTTTTCAACTTATTTGATAATATCATATACTAATTATATCGTTCCATTTTAAATGTTCAAGAATACCTGCAAAGTGTATGTTAATGCCAATACGCGCCCTCTACCACTCATCACATTTACTAAAAAGACTCTACCCATGTAAAATAGGATTACACGAAGAGACCTCTTTCCAATAAGACCAATTTTGTGAAAATCGGTTAAAACCGCAGTTGCTTAAAGAGATTCCCCTTCCTTCACCCCTCATATTTCACAAGCTAGAGCAATATTGGTTGCATGATGCAAAATTCATACAAGATTGCGATGCATGTATTTTTTATGTATGTTTGTTACGCGGTTTGTTAGATATATATTAAAAAAATCATTTTTCTACAACTGTCAAAAAAACCTGTCATTTTCTGACGGATTTCGAAACGCGAAGTACTAGATTTTTAAACGGTTAATTAATAAGTAAGGTTGCTATTGACAACGTGCGCGAAATCGTCAACAGTGAAAAAAAGTATTTCGCGCACGTGACAAAGTTGAACAGCAAATTTAATTAACAATCGGTTCAGTTGTAGAAAAAATATTGTATATAACGCTAGCGCGATGTTATTTCGCGCATTTGACTGATATTTTGACTCGGCTTCGCCTCGTCAAAATACCTTCAGTCTCAATGCGCGAAATTGAACTTCGCGCTCTTGTTATATAAATAACCATTTTCTACTAACTTAATATACCACAGTAAACAGTTAGTTTTAATTGTACCCAAGTCGTTCTGAGTTCTGGATTCGTAGGTACAATGAAACAAATTTTGGTACAATGAGGTACATGATGTTGAGTTGAAGCTTGACTGCGGTACTAAGGGTCCCTGGTTCGAATCCAAAATAAAGGCCAAAAATAAATAAACAAATAAATAAGTAATTTAGTTATCTATACATTCGTTCATTTTTCGCGGCCAGTTTCAAGGGCGCGATTTTTACGCAGAATGAAAAGTGGACACCCCCTACAAGTGTAACATTTTTAAAGTTTGTTCCTTTGGATTTCCCATTCACCCACTAGATGCATGGACGTTAGCATATTTCAGTTAAAAATTTAAAAACTAACGGAAAACGGGATATATAAGTAAGGGTCATTTTTATAAAGTCTTGCGTTTAAGGTCGTTGCAAAAGTTACACTGTTAATAGTTAAATTCAAAAAGTAATAAAAACCATTAATACATCCGGAAAAATTACCCTTTAAAACTGTATAAAAAATTTTTAAGCGTGTGGAAGAAAATTAAAAGATTCTGAAAGCGCGCATATATTATTTTTATTAAATTTCTTTTTTAATTTAAAACAATCATTTTTTAAGAATAAAAATAGCCTAACATTAATCAAATAATTTCTTATGGAATGGTCATTCATCTTGTAGTCATAGACGCCACTGTCCAATTGATCGGTTAATAATTTCTTTGTCAAATTGGTTCCAACAAAAAAAAACATCGAGAAAAACTTTCCGATGTGTTTCACTCATTAATAATGTTTTCGTGAATCATGGATTTTAATGTATGTATTCCAAATCTTGCAATCGACGGGGATAAGGTCAGGGTCAGGGCTATGTGGAGACCACCTGTTAGATCAAATCTGGTAACTATTCTTGCAAATACGTTATTGTACTTCTGAAAGTGTGAGATGGTGCGCCGTCTTGTTGGAAGCTCAAGTAGTGACTAATATTTTCAAAGTCCAGTAGAATGATGCTTAAAATATTCTTTGATACATTTATAAAAGAGATATTTTAAGCAATACTGATATTGAAAATACTTGTAACGACTTCATATTCCAATACAATAGCGATAGCCTATACTTCCCCACGTACGATAGCGTATTTGAAAGAATTATTGAGCCTGAAGTGGCCCCCAAATAACCATGATCTTAATTAAATTGATGTATAACGATTTTTAGGTAGTTCATATGAGTTAAAAAAATTTATTAACTTTTGAATTGAAAAATAAATTTAATAAAAATAATATATACGCTTTTTCAGCACGTCTTTTAAGTTGCTCCAAACAGCCTGAATACCAAATGGAAACAGGTTAAAGCGTAACAAATATTACTATACGTTTCTTTTAGTTTTAGCCTTTAAAGCTCAGAAAAACAAAACCGATCAATTAAATTGAATCTTTTCGATCAAATATACACAATTTTATTTACGAGATTTAGTTATGGTGACTCGATATGCAACAATAGGATTTTGTATATTAATATGCACTTAAGTGTCGAGCTACACTAAAATTACGTTGTAATTAAAAGCTCCAAATTACGAAGTGCTTAGAGTTAGAGTCGTTGCAAGCAACTGAATTTTTAGACTCAAGCATTGTGTGGAGGGAGCCCGAAAGTTATAATTGCTTCAAACTAAAGGTCCTAACTAAATCATAAATTGCAATTTGGAGTGAGGTGATTAAAGAGATTACGTAATGTAAAAAAATAAAATCGTTGAGGAGGGGTTGTGTTCAAGTAGACTTGCTCATCAAAGCTCAAACCATTTTGTTCAAGCCAATTCCGCATTTAACAAAGTGCAGATCAATATTCATTAACATAAAATTCAGTTCGGGTGACGTTGACAAAAACTAACCTAGTGGTAATTAAAGACGTGATTTATCCGTTTTTGTACTGACGTAAACGGTGCAAAGCAAATATTGACAAAGTATGTAGTTCAGCAAATTAAATCGAACTTGCGGTTAACGTACGTACTTTTCTTTTTCAGATTCTATTATCGCACTTCGACGCCTTCAAATTTCCATCTTCAGAAGTAGTTCAATTCCGTGCTCTAGTGACTCCATGCATGCCAGCCTGCGAGCCGATCCAATGTGATCAAGAAGAAGAATCAACTGGAGAATTGCGTTCCGTTGAATCGTACGGGAAGCGCAGAAGACGTCGCTCAACCGCCGAAGTAAACGAAGATATGATTTTAGTGCAGTCGATTCAAATTACCGACAAATTCGGTTTCGAACGTGATATGAATACAAGTAGGTCTATTGGCAGTGAAGCCGTGTATATCCCCAATAATGAACCGGGACTATGCGTTAATATGGCGGGATTAATAGTTGCCGGAACCGTCTTTTTAGCGGCGCAATTGGCTGTTATCGCCGCCTGGACCTTCATTTGGCAAAGGCGACGACTTGGACATAAATTACATTCCGATGCAATGTCGGTAAGTGTAAGTTTGCCATCGGGACTAAGTGGTAACCGTACGGATAGTCTTTGTAAATTATACGACGCCGGTTATGCTCACTCTCGTAGATTTTAAGACAGCCACTTTATGTGTTCCATATTCTGACATTTTATCGGCCAATCGCGTGTGATAGCTATACTTATGAGTTTATTTCAGATTAAACGTTATAATTACAAGTGTCGCCACCGTTATGTGACCACCGAAATTATACGTTATACTTGTATTAGCATGATATCCAAGAAACAGGTGCTATTTATCTATTTGAACTATAATTAACTACATTTAACTGTAAGAATGTTTAGCCTGTACCCCCCACGTATAAATTATCCCTAATTGTTTAGCGTGAACCCATATTCACTTCTAAATCGACGAACTCGTGCACTTTAAGCGACGAGTTGAAAAGTAACGTTATTTGCATTACTCGCCTATTTCCTTTGCAGCCAATACTTCAGCCAAATTAGCTTCTGGGTTAGGTTATACACTTTATGAAGTCAAGTAGTTATAACGTTACTTTAGATGCCGGTGGCGCAGTATTAAGGACTCCAGGACGATCGTGTATGCTCCGGTATTAAGTGTGAGTGAGAAAAATTGCTATTAGTGATATAAGAGTGCATGTACTTTTGAATGATATTTATAAATGCTTGTCCTCGTTTCCTAATACTAGAAGCGCCGATTTTGCTTATAGATTATAAACTGTAATTGAATAAAAGCAAAATCGTCACGAGAAAGCGCCAAATTTTTATCCTTCCATTATAGCGTTATATATAATTTAAATTTAAGAGCATAATAATTATGTACCGACAATTCAGCTGATTATTGATCTGAATAAACAATTTCATACAACTCTGTGTTTATGTTTACACCTTCGATTACCTATGGATAATAAAAGTTGAAAGGCGCATACAAGTTGTGAAACTCTTCCAAATGAAAAATGTGAGGACAATACAACCTAAACAAAACCAGACATGGCTAACATTTTGAGAACTCATTATTTACTACAGGACTACATACGGTAACGAGCAAGTGAGTTGACAGTGTGGACAAGTGGTGACATTAAGAGATTTTTTAATCTGTTCGTTTTCTAATAATGTCCAGGGAATAAGAGGGTTTTAACTTGCAAAATGGGAAGTAGTTCCAATTTCTCTTGCATGTCATAGGCAGTCATCTGGTGGTTAAGAATCTAAGTTTTGGTTGGTTTCTTAGTTTTTCAATCATATCTTTTTATAGGTTCACTTCACAAAAAAATATTGTTATCATAAATTGTAGACCATAAAATTCGACACAACTTTGATATACATTACTTTTTTGTGAGATGTTTATTAAAAAAGGTGTAGAGCTTCAAAGTTGCTTATATTTTTAAGAATTCTGAAATTGCTATCTAGATGTTTTAACCAAATTTTATACTTTATCTCTATAATTAAGAGTTTTATGGGAAAATATCTTGAATTTATCATGGTATAAATCTCCCTACCCTGCACCCTTACCAAAGGGGATGCATAATAATTCAACTTTCAACGCTTGCTAGTGGAGATATTTGAATCACTGTGAGATTGTAGCGCTTTCTAATATGTTTGAAATAAAAAAAATTGGGGAATGAATATTTTTCAACCCCCTTGCGGCGGTTGATTAGTCAGAAAGTACAACGCTTAGTTATTACTTATATTTTCTAATACACTCGTTCTAGTTTAACCCTTTCAACACTCACTATAGGGGGTTGAACTAGTCCCTTTCTGTAGGAGATGAAAGGGGTTACAATGAAGTAAGACCACTTTTCTTATTTGATAATTGTATTCGAAAGCGCCATAATCACACAGTGATTAAAATACCTACTACGACCAAGTGGTTATCATCCCTTTTGATAGGGGTGCAGGGTACCGAAATTAATAGCACCATAGCTTCATAATCGAGGTATTTTTCATATAAATGTAGAGATAACATATAATTTCGTTAAAATATGTACAGGGTGTAAATCGAAAAGTGGAACATAGGCGTTTAACATGGGAAATTACTTTTTCTTTGCGCAAACGTTTCGTAATTATTTTACCCAAAAATACTTCAAATAAAAGTTATAGAGATATAAATTCTGCATCTAAATCATGTTAAATGATTATTCTACTTCTTCCTGTACGCGAAAAAATTAATTATAAAGATTCTGTTTTCACGAGTTTTTAGTCTAAGTAGCCATGGACTATAAAAACATAAAAAACACAAAATTAAGTCGAGGAGTTTTAGTTGAAAAAGAAATATTCCGGTGCAAAAAGACCACCCATCTTATCCCTGCATCACCATTCCATCTGAAATACTAATAAGCATAATTGACGGTAACATAATAATAATAATAGTCTTTATTTGGTTTCCATTAAATCATAAGTTACAAAAAAAAAGGTTTAAATCATATTTAAAAAAAAAAAAGGAAACGAAAAAAAAACGGAAAATAACTACTACTTTCAGAAACCAAACCACAAGGGGAGGTTCAGTATAAACTGCTCTTCCACCTAACCCTTGAAATGCAAAACAAACCATAATTCGTGATAATGAGCAATGCATTTAAATAACTAAAATGTGTGAAAAACAAAATAAGGCATTATGGGGACATATTTATACATAATGAAATTTTAATTTGGCTACGCATAGGTACTTACTGATTTTGTAATAAAAGTTTTCTGAGCTTGATACGAAATATTGAAAGTGGCAAATCTTTTAATGCTAGCGGTATATTGTTATAAACACGATGGACCGTGTAACTGAATGACCTTTCAAACAAAGCTGTTCTGTGATTTGAGGGCGTAATTAAATTCCTAAATCGTAAGTTTAGATGATGTACATCAGTCCGGAATTCTATTTTTTGATATAAGTATTTTGGACATTTCTGAGTTATTATTTTATGACATAAACAGGCCATCTGCAGATACCTCCTATTACTCATATTTAGCCAGTTAGCATCGGCTAGTTTGTGCGTTATATGATCGAATTTGCGTATCCCAAAGATTAATCGCAAGCATGCGCTTTGCAACCTTTGAATCCTCTGCTCCATATCTACAGTTAAACAAGGTCCGTACAAAGGCGCACAATAGGCGAGATGTGACAAATCTAGACTGTCGCAGAGCATTCTTTTAATAGATACGCTGATGTACGAACGATGTGGAAAAATTAATTTAAGATTAAAATAGGCGGTCCGTATGCTTTTTAGAGTTTGTTGCCTGTATCTAAAAGAGTTGTCCAAGATCACTCCTAGGTTTCTTGCGGCACTAACAATAGGTATACAATCGTTGTTAATGATGATGGAAGGGATAGTTAAATTATTTGCGTCTCTACCAAAAACAATAACTTGGGATTTAGATGGATTTAAAAGCAAAGCATGGCGAGTACAAACATTATATATGGCACTCAAATCTTCATTTAATTTAGAAATGGCATTATGTACGTTATTAATATGAAAAGATAAGTATACCTGCATGTCATCGGCATACATATGTATTTTACTGGAACTTAGACATTTGGGAATATTGCTAGTATAAATACAAAAGAGCAACGGACCGAGAATCCTTGTGGTACACCTCTAGTGACTACTCGTGAATGTGGATACGGTAGATCTGAGATTGACTTTTTGAGACCTATTAGTCAAATAGTTTTCAATCATTTCTACATGCCGAATTGAGATACTCCACTATATTTCAAATAGCTAATAGTAATTGGTGATTAACGGTATCAAAAGCTTTGCTAAAATCTAATAATGTCAAGATGGGGTGTGTTGCTTATTGTCACAAGCCTTTAGTATGTTCATCTGTAACATGCATAAGGCAGTTGTACAGCTATGTGATGACGAAAACCAGATTGCATTTTCTGGATAATATTATATTTCTCGGCAATGTTCATATAGCTGCCTGTGCATCACTTTTTTCTAGAAAACTTTTGATAGGAATGGTAATATACTTATTGGCCGATAATCTTTATACTCCGCAGTTGTTTGTTTTTTAGGAATAGGTGTTACTAATGCATTCTTCCACAATTTACAATATACAACACTAAAACTACTTATAATATACATTTTTAGCAAGCCTGACGATGGTAAACACCGAAATCGATCGCAAATAGAAAACAAATAAAATGTTATATATTAGCAAACACCGTAAGGTAACTCGTTTTTATTAAATCTAATATACATATAATGGAAAACGTATAAAAAAGCCTAAAAGAATGAATCAGTGTAAACGCAAATAATGCGTAATTATAAGCACATACGTAAACGACCGTAGAACTTGTAAATATATCCGCAAAAACGTCGGTGAAGCGAAGCACAAAAGAAAAACTTCACCAAAAATATCATACGTCCCTTCAAAAACCCTTTTAAAAAGGCACGACACAAGGTCGAAGAAAAATATAGCGAGTGCGACCTCTAGCGGAAAAATAAATAACTATGAAATAAATACTACCAACAAAACTAACTTATACGAGCTTACATCAGAAATACATAGATGGCGTAAAGGGTACTACTACTTAAACAGAATATAAAAATTTGAATGCTGAAGCCGAAAGAAAAACAAGTTGTATATTCATCATATGCATGATGAAAGCGCATCTTTGATAATATCGATCAGTATTTTATTAGGTTTTATTAAAGTTTTAGTGAAATTTGAAGGTCTCTAGCTATTAAATTGCTGATGACTCCTCGGACAGTATATTATTTATATATTTAATATAATATATATAACAACTCCCCTCTTCCTAAATAAAATAATACTTAACATTTCTTATAAATCAAATCTAACCGGTGCTTTTCTAGTCCTTATAGAGCGTCTTAAACACCGGAACATTTGCATTATCGGTCATTGTTGGCTGAATATGATCATTTTTATCGTGCGCAGAATCTTGCATAGATAATTCCTTATCGGTTGTACTTCCTGATTGCAAAGTTCTATTACTATCAACTTCAGGTACTACGTTGATATCATCTTCTGGGATCTCTTGAATATTATATGGTAAAGTAATCTCTTACTGCTACTCTCGTACCAACATTAATTCTACGAGATTTTATGTAATGTTCCTCTGAACTTGTAACTTTCGACTCGGGTCTTATCAAATCTATTCTAGATCGTATCTCCCGATTAAACATTAAATAAGAAGGTGAATGTCCAGTGGTTGAATGTGGCATTTTCCTATACCTACTGAAGTAGAAATTTACCCAATTCAAAATTTCGAGTATTTCCCTCACACTTCATAGTTTTTAGTGCTTGTGTCATAGTCTGAACATAATCTCTCCGCCAACCCATTGGTTGCTGGATGGTATGGAGCTGAAAGTTTTTGTAAAATCCCATTTTGTTTTAGAAATGTTTTGAATTTTAATGAAGTAAATTGGCTACCATTGTCACTTACAAAAACTTTCGGTATTCCAAAAGTCGAAAATATTTTCCTACAAATTTCAATTGTACCTTCACTAGTAATGACTTTGGTAAAATGAATTTCGGGCCAATGTGAATATGAATCCACTAATATAAAATAATAGCCCCCATTTAACGGTCCCGCAAAATCGGCATGTACCCTGTCAAATGGTGCTTTTGAAACTTCCCATGGGTGAACTTCGACTTTTTTTACATTATTCTTGACTTTATTACATTCGTAACAATTTTTTACTAATTCTTCAATAGAATTGTCTATATTTGGCCACCAACAATAACTGCGTGCCAACCCTTTCATTTTCACAACACCAAAATGTGAAGTGTGAAGCTCTTCCAATACTTCCCTGCGTAAAACAATTGGTATAACTACTCTAGATCCTCTTAAAATACACCCTTTTTGCACCGTAAATTCACTTTGATCTAAATTAAATCTTAATTGTTTGTCAACTACCTTCCCCTAATTTAAACCATGTAGTAAAGGTCGTAATGTATCATCATTATAAGCCTCCTCCGCTAATCGTTTCACTGTAACTGGTAATGTTTGTATTTGATTTAATTCAAAAACATCGGGAACATCCAATCTATTAGGGTTTTCATTTTTTACTGGCAGTCTTGACATCGCGTCTGCATTTGCATTTAAATGAGAACGTTTGTAACGTATTTCGTAATCGAATGTTTGTAGATACAATGCATAATGTTGCATTCTAGTGGAAAATTTGTACTAATGGAGCATGATCCGTATACAAAATAAAATGCCTACCATATAAATACTTATAGAATTTCTTTACGCCAAATATTATTCCATATTTATTTTTAAATTATGGAGCTGTAATCTTTTTAAAACCTCCTCTAAAATTTGTAAGTGTAATTTTGTATTTCTTGCTGTAATCTTGATATCATCAATAAAAACTGGCACACCAGGAATACCTTGTAAAATTTGTTCTATTGTTCTTTGCCACACTGCTGGTGCATTTGCCAAACCAAACATTAATCTAGTTGGACGATATAATCCCTTATGTGTACTTAACGTAAGAATATCTCTCATCTCTTCCTTCACCTCTAAATGTAAATATGCTTTATTTAGGTCTATTTTTGTAAATTTCTCCCCATTTGCCATTTCTGCAAAAAATTCATCAATAGTTGGTAAAGGGTGATCATCCACTAAAATATTAGGATTGACTGTAACTTTGTAATCCCCACACAACCGAACCTCTCCATTTGCTTTAAGTACTGGTACTACTGCGGTAGCCCATTCAGAGTGATCACTAAATGTTCAATCTCTTTATCTACTTTGCCTAACAAAGCAAATGGTACTGTACGTGCTTTTATATATCTTGGTTTAACATTAGGTTTTATATGTATTGCAGCTTGTATACCTTGTATTTTACCTATACCTGAACCTAAGATTCCCTTGTATTTATTTAATAATGCTGAAATTTCTGTTTGTACATTATTATTAACTATATCTAACTCTCCCACTTCTAATAACTGTATTTTTAGCTTTCTAATCCATTCTCTACCTAGCAATGAATGTTTATTTCCTGTAACTATGTAAGCATCTAAATCTCCCTTGAAATCCTCATATACAACATCAACTTTAACATATCCCAATACCTTTAAACTTTGGTTGCAGTAAGATATTAGTTTCAATTGAGTTGGAATTATCTCAAAATCTTGAAAAAATTCTAAGGATGTAGTATAATTTATTATTGCGACAGGACTTCCACTGTCAATTTCAAAATGAATCATCTTATTGTAAACACATAAATCAATAAATATATATCTGAAATATCTATATTATATTAACCTCGTCGCCACAATGTTAATCGTTTGTATTGTATGTTTTGGGTTCGTTGGTACCTCAATTGTACATAAATTGAAGTAATTTATTTATTTCGACAGAGCGATCTCTAATTACAAATCTAATGAAAAATAATAAATATGTAACTACAGTAGCACTGCAAGCAACCAAAAACACCGACATATATAAAAGACAGCAGCCAGCCAGCCAATAACGAATATAAAGCGTATTTTGTTTCAAAAATGCGTCGAGCCGCGAAAAAAGACTCCGTTCGAAACTACATAAAAATAAAAATCATATGCACTTCCCACGCCGCACCATAAGCCCCAACCTACCGCGAATGTGTCCTTCTTTCGGGGTTTCCTCGTTGCAGCTAACAGCGCCTCATAAAAAGTTCTTGATTTCTAAACTGAAACGTGGCGTTTCACTTGCACGACTGTCTTTGGATATCAATGTCATTTAGAGAAGATGTCATTTAAATTAGTATGTCGTATTTTGAGGCCAGTGATGGCTAATTTACAATGGAAGAGTAAATATTATGCTATTCTGGATTTGATCAAGATTTTGGCTAAGCATACAAAAGTTAAAATGGTAGGTGGGTTATTCAACACAATGCGTTTTGTTTGTTCTCCGACAAAATTAATAAATAAATAAAAATTACCATCAAATTGCAACACCATCTCGCAGTTTTTTTCGTGCTGCATTAGGAAAAGGCCGATATTGAAAAGTTTTAATTTTGAGAATTGACATTTTTCCTTTCACGCCGGCAGACGAACAATACGCGCATTTTCATATTTGAAAGAAATAGTTCGAATGACCATATAAAATGCCTATTTAACATTATCTTCTCCTGCATTTTCATTGCGTAACTTACCTATACAATACTTTTAAACTTAAAAACAACAAAAACCCTTCAGACCTCCTGAATAAATAAACAAAAACATTTAAAGTGTGCTTAAAGTAAATTCCAAATCAGTCAGTTTTCCTAATTGTTCAAATCAAATTGTAACTAATCTAAATAACAAAGTTGGAGCTCGTAACTGCGTCTGAATATCACTTAGTAACAAAGTTTTCGGGTGTTGGGTAGATTACACAAACTGTACATTTCTTAACCCATATCTTCGTATAATCTGTTACATAAATGTTTGGGTAAAAACGTCAAGTCGTTCAACAAGGGCCCCAATTAAAATTCTTGTTTAATTTGCTTCGAATAAGTACTTGTTTTGCAATTTATAGCGAGAGCACAAAAAAATTCTATTTAGAAACAAAATATAATATTGCTGTTTGTAATTCATTCTAAAGGTACAAGATTTGAGAAATATTCTCATTACGGCGATGTACAAACCCGAAGATCCGGTAGCCAGCGCGCTTACGATGCTTAATTAATTAACCCTTCAGAGGGAGAGAGAGAGCTACAATAAAGAAAAATTCTAATTGAAATCCTATCTACAAATATTATTTTAAGGCAGGAAATTAAAAAGAAATCTTAATAACGAAAATGAAATATTATACGTAATTTATCGGGATTTAGGAGAACTCTTCAAGCATTTTCGCTATAAGTGGCAATAGTAAAGTGCAATAATCGGAATAAAGTAAACATAAATTTTTAAGAAAAAAGAAGAGAGCAGGCGTATTTTCCGTAATATTTTCGTTTTATGTTGTATCAGTAAGTGCTTTTGTGGGGAAAATGTGATGTAATTCAAACTGCCACGCCTAGCGTCACAAACATATGATTATACACATGTTGAAAAAACACTCAACTTTACTATTCCAAAAGTAACTTGTCATTCTCATCTAAACATCAATGAAAATTTCCCTTTCAAAATTACAGAGACGGATGTCTCAACATCCCTCCATACAGGAAATTCACTCGGCAATAATCCCATGTTTAGCATAAAGGATCAAATGCAAAACATATTCAATATATTCGGCACGGAAGAAATTTTAAATTAACCTCTTTATGCAAAACTACAAATATTTAACTAGAGTGACGTTAAAGACTTACGATCATTTTCTATTCCATCGTTTTATCGTTTCGAAACCTCGGGGGGTATAACTGTGATGGCAATAAAATGTCCGCCACAACAATTTCAAACTGAGATGTTTATACGAAAGTGGTTTTCGTATGTATTTCACACGTTCTTTTTTTTTCGGAAACGTTGAACAATGTTGTACTTACGTGTTTGTTATGTCATTAAATGCGATACAGCCTCCGCTACGTATGGAAAAGCTGCACCTTCTGAATTGAAACTGCTTTCGATGATGGTTAAACAACTTCTGGACATAATATATCGATGTAGCTTTTTAGCGTTTAGTAAAAAAATGTACATAATTTGAAATTCTTTTTAGTGTGAATGGTCAAAATATGATTGACATTGTAAATGTTCATTCACATTCAGAGTACCGACATCCATTTCCAATTTACGTAAATACTCGTATAATACCACATGCTTAAATGAGCATTGAACAAATGTCAGATCAACCACCAGTTGCTGTTTAGAAATTCAAGATATGTTTGGTGGTTTTCCCAGCAAAAATGATAACATAATGCAGATGAAGTTAATCCAGTACCATTAAATTACGGCGATCAGTTTTACATCCATAACGTATGTCAGTTAGCACTTTCTATTCTTACACTATGGCACTAGTAATACATCCTTACCACAATAATTATAATATTGTCTTACATATCGTAGGCTGGGCGAATAAACTTCTAAATAACGGTCTAAACTATCCCAAGCTTTACTTGGTATGTATGTATGGTAATGCAATTAACAATATCACACGATAAAACACTGTGATTACACAATTCCCCATTAAATTGTTATAAATTTATAGCCGCTCCATAATAATATTATAAAGCAATTGTACCTAACGTTTTGTTTTTCACAAAATGGAAACATGATATAGGTACAATCGGTTTTAATAGAGAGAATATTATAATCTCCAAGTCGGGTTACTACAGGAAAATTAATGCAATAAATTTGTAACCTACGCAACATTGTCTGAAAGAACATGTATCCATACTGTTTAAGATTTTACACCTCTGCATTTATTTTAAATCTATTTAGAATCGCCAATAAAAATAGAAAAAATGTAGAGCCAACAAAAAAAAAGTTATAGCCTCAGGGATATGTCACAATTGCATTTACATGCACTCCCTCGTAACAACCACCCACAGTGAACTAACTACATTAGCTAAGAAAATGCGTTTTTAAAGTGCCCTAACTCTGAAATAGTAGTCCAAATGCAATTCGCTCCCTTTTGACAATTTCGGCTACATCTCTTGCAATTTCCTTTTATTACATTACAATTATATCATGTAAGTAACAATATTAAAGAACTTTGCATTGCAAAACTAAGGCATTGCATGTGTGGTAGTTTCTTTTCCGTTTACAATTTGACTCACTCCTGATTAATCTCGTGCCTGCATTTAAAACTTCATGCACGAGTACGTTTGCAGCAAGATCTAGTTAATTTCCTTTGACAGTGTGTTTTACACTGTACCTACATACATAATAAAGAAAAATCTTCTTTGATGTTAAATTTTCTGCATTTATAAAAGAAAATGTATTATATTATTCAAATCACGTAACGATTTGCTCTTTGTAAACTTTTGTAATATGTGGAGTTATTATTAACTCGCCCTCACGCTTAACATTATAAACGAACCCCTTGAGAGTAGCAATTGTCGAAGCTGACAAATTTTGGATCATTCATGCGAGTTTTCTGCTAAAGAGTACATACAGAATGGAGCATTTTAATTTTGCCTTGGTGTTATAATCCGTTATTTTAAGTGATTATTTTTTTCAAATATTTATAATTTGCACCAATTTGACTTTGTTTATACATCGCTCTTGCAACATGTATAACGTAGTACCAAGTGTTTTTTTTACAAAATAAGTGCAATCAATTTTATTGAGAAAGAAACCAAACGCGATTGCTCCTTCCCAAAAAATTTCCCATATTTTATTTAATATAATCGTATGCTCGATTAATGCAAAATTGCATTTTATCCTACAATGCAGTAAGTATTGCTACTTTTCAGCAACGTTGTCATACGAACTATTTGTGGAATACCTGGTGGTACGTAGTTTGCACGTATGGCATACATATAGTAAGAAAAACTTACCCTTAATCGTTGATCAGCGATGCTCCACACTCGACTAGCAAAATCATTCGAAGCACCTAACACTAAAGTTCCAGTACAGTCAAACTCGACCGACATCACTGCCGCGTTACTACCGACGAGCACTCCGCGACTTTTAAACGTTCCTGCAAAGAAAGAAAAACAGAATTAATTTAACGGTTATTATAGAGACGTAACAGTCCGTTGCGTGTAATTTCAAAATAAATTTTCCGGTAGTCAGTGTTTCGAAGTCAGTTAAATTAAGAAGAAGGGGTATAGGAATAGTTTTCCGATTGCTGTCCAAAGTTAGTGTTCACGCGATTAGTTGCGAACTGTAGAAGAAGAGGTGTTTCGTCAATTTTAAAGCTGTGTTTTCGTTAAAATTAAAGTTTGTATCCGAGCTGCCATTACAACCATGTCAATCGTCATGGTGATAGAAAGAAAAAAAAGAAGGAAGTTTGTGTACCTCTACGCTGCTATTATTTTAGGAACCGTTCCCGAATCAACATGACGTATCTCTGTAAAAGAAATATTCTTAACTTCTTTCCACGGCGCCCCCTTTCTGAAAACGAAAATTGCTCACGCCCCCCTCGATAAAAAAAATAAAAACTGCTTTTACTACAAAAGACATAAGTATTTATTTAACAAAATTAAATGTTATGATTTTATTATACAGGGTGAGACTTTTTTCATTTTCACCATGGGGACTCGTAAATCGAAAAAGATACCAAGCGGATTAAATGGGAAAAGTTATGCAGAGTTTTATGCAGATTATGTGATTAATTTTCCTTTTCAAAGTATCTCGTAGATCTACAAATAGCGAAGTTAGGGTCAAAAAAACTCAAAGATATTAAAAAATAATTTTAACAAACCCTTAGTGAATTTTCCTCAGCTTTCTGATGGTACTAAAATGAACAACCCCAACGTTTGTAGTATACATATATTAAAGGCACATCCTGCAATGGTTACCGTGAATGCGTGAATCACACTGACAACTTTAACCCATCCTTCAAATAGTATTTATTCTTAAGATCACACATTAGAGTCTTCAAAACAACGTTTTTTTTAAAAAAAAAGCTTTCTACTAATCTACGTACTTTAAATTTGAGGTCAGTGGCGTACTAGTCAAGGGGGATAAATTTTTTAAATGACCGCTACTTCTCATTATATTTTCAAGTATTCTTTATGAATGTTTAACAGAAATTACAATAATATAATAATTTAAAAAAAATATTCCCCCTTTGACCATGCCGAAGTACGCCACTGACCACAAATTTCAAGTACGTAGATTGGAGGCAAACTTTTTATAATTTTAGAACCCATAAAAAACTTTTTAAAAAAAAATGTTGTTTTAAAGATACGTATTCAGTGTTCCAGACAGCATTTTCAACCTGCATATTGATGGACTGAGTACAGTAATTGTCTCATTGCATTCTACTCATGCATAAATGCAATTATAAGTATTCTGCACAAAGCACATATGCACCTTTTTATAATCATGCATTGATCAGTACTTCCCATCAGTGAAGACGGAAGAATTAAAGTTTCAGTTATTACTAGAGAAGTACGTATATCAGAGGCCATGAACTAGACTAAGATTTGGGGGGTCGTCGACTTTGATTCCCAGGTTCCTTACACCAGAACAGAAACTGGCCAGGAAAGAAATTCGCCAGGATAATTTGGATATCAATATTTTTATCATTGATGATGGAACCTGGTTGTATCACTGGGATCTTCCAACGAACAGTGGTAGGCGCTCACCACCAAAAAAAAGCAAAAACGCAGTGTTTAGCCGGGAAATTGATAGCCAATGATTTTCTAGGATTGTGAGGGGTTTCGGTTGATTGAGTACATGAAAAAGAGCATTGCATTAACGGCCATGTTTATAAAAAGTTTGTTCGACGTGTTTTACATCCGAACGGCAGATGTGCTTTACATGCTTTTTCACTTTCATTCAAGTGCAATTTTGCTAATACCAACCTAAAAAAATATAGGTCAGATCGACCTTTCTCTTATTTCAACTTTCACAACTTTCAGTTTGAAAAGCTATAGCTGCCATTAGATAAGAAAGACTGATCAGACAATACTGCTACATGATAATTGCCAGGTGCACAAGACTCAAACAGCCCAAAATTATCTATGGCGTCCAGAGACGTATAGTCTGGATTTAGCACCTTGTGACTACTATCTTTTCCCGAAACTGAAAATATACGAGGAACGAAGATTTGCTTCTGATGAAACTTTCAAGTTACTGTTACTGATATTATTGCGGAAACGGCGGATATTTACCTTAAATTCCTTTTCATTAGATTACAAAAAAAATGTCCATTATATCGAAGGTAACAGTTTTTACCGACTCCAGGGATCCGTTCACCATGCTAATAATATCAAGTACTATTCTCATACTTCCGCAGTCACACTGTCTGTATGTGTGCTTGTATGAAAAACGACAATTGAAGCTTATGTTATTTATTAACGATTAATTTTTAAATGACAACTAAAGCGTAGGTACTATTTCATGACTGACCTTTCGAAATATCCCACAGTTGCACTTTTCTATCTGCACCACCGGTAGCAACAATGTGTTGATCTGGACCCCACTTGACCGCGTTAACTTCGCCTTCGTGAGCATCCTGTGAACAAAATGTTAGCGTTACAGCTTAATGAAATTAAACCATTAAAATCACTTGACCCTGCCGTACCCCCCAGGGACAATGGTTTTAAATATAATTCGCTGGATTTTCCGCTAGAGATAATAAAAAGAAAGTACTAAAAGAACTACTTACAAATTTAACGGTAACTTTAGTGGGTAAGGCAGATGTGAACATTGGACCAAGACCTTCTTGTACGTCGTCCATATTGACTGCTCTGACGTCTTTGCAGGCTTCTTCTAGCTCCTTTTGAACCTTTGCGTGTTTTTTTCTGTAATACAAGTAATCAGTCACAGTTCATAATACACAGCGTGTGATTGATTTTTAAAATAAATGAGTTTAAAAACTTATAAACTACCGTGTACATAATATGTTCTCTCGTAAGAAAAGTAAATTAGGAATGGTGTTTTATTTATGTATGAGAAATGTTGCAAACGTTTTCATTTGGTCTTTCCAACATTTATAAAGATGGAAATTAAAGCATTTATTTCTTGTGTCAGAAAGATGTGTTCACGTGATGTTTTTAGCAACTTTTTAAGCCCCCCTCCTACCTGGTGATAGTGGCAAGGTTTTACAGTACTCCCCCTTCCATACCCAAAATTACGTGTATTTTTTTAGTGCACAGTATCTTCAAAAGTTTCAGAATATTATCTTTAAATACAGGTAAGTACCTACCTATAATTTATAGTAACAAAAATGTCCAGACAGACATTAAGATTGCAGGATTTTTTGACTGGTATAAACATAATAATGGATTACTGCCTTCGTACCTTATGTTTTCTTGGTGATCATTATGCTATTATATTACAATTATATAAGAACTTAGTATATCATACTATACCTTGATTGCACCAACAAACTATGCAGCAAGAGCTATGAAGAAATTTAAAAAGTAAACAATTAATCACTCATAGCTGGAATATGTACTGTTTATTAACTAACTCGTCGGAGGATGGCAAATCTTGTGTATTTGATAACGCCACCTACGAAGGAACGCACTCCCACTTACGCCGAAAATACACAAATACACAACGTTGTCCACCTGCATGTCTTGTTATCGACATCAAAACACGTGCGTTAATTAAATTACGCCCGATACCACCCCTTATCGCAAAACAACCAGATAAAAATTTTTCATAATGCACGCATACTTGACCAAATGTTTCTACATTTTATCTAAAATTTCAACTTTTACAAATAAATAAACATATTTAAATAGACAATAAGTACGCATTTACAAAGATTCTAAAAGTAAAAACAACTCAAATAAGATAAATCAACTTTGTGCTTATTCGTAATAATCCCCCCAATCTACTTTGATATTTTTGCAAAGTTTCTCATATACAGGTAACAGCATATTTTAGGTTATATGTTAACAAAAATCGGATTTCCAAACTTTCTATTCCTCAAATTACTTTTTAAATTTTAACTTCAGTTTCTATTCAATATTTAAAAGTTTGTTTACAGGGTGTTTTCTATATAGGTCTAAAGTTACAAAATTTCATATTCGTATAGCTCAGTTTTTTTTAAAAATGGAACTCTATACATTTATGTATAGTATGTATCTTTTAATGTATTCACTTATCTTCATTAATAATGTTCCATACACATATTTCCTGTGTTTTTCGAGATATCGTGATCATCATCTTGGTATCATAATTTTGAATAATAAATAATTAAGTTTATGCAGCCAAATGCACATTTAATTCACTTCCTAGTGTCATAGACACTATGTCCTTTTTTTGCATTTGTTAAGTTAAATGATATAGACCATAATAGAAACCACCTTGTATATCCACCTGAGTAACTAAAGTCGAAATATTTGATATGAAGAAATCAAAATTGAAGAAGTAATTTTAACAATAAGTCAATTTTCTTTAAAACTATATCACTATCATTGGTTTTACATACAAGGTGATCATTTTGTCTAGAACACTGAATCTTCCAAAAAACGTTTTATAAAAAGCTTTTTTTGGTATACAAAATTATTTAAATTGAAGAAGTAATTTTAACGTCGAAAAACAAAATATATTTTGACTGTGTATCATTGCTTTTTTATTTGAAAACAGATGACTAATCAATCGACTCACGTATTAAGATAATCAAGCGAAACTAACTCACAAAGACACATAAATACATACCTCGGTACAGGGTGTATGTAAATATTTTGTACTCCACAAACTAAAGAAATGGTTTGGTCGAGGTAAATACACTTTTATTATCACAGTGTTGTCTGAGGACCTTTTTTTTAGAATAGGTGTTACTGTGAAATTAATATCTACATTATATGCAGGGGAATTCACATAATTAGCTACTTAAAAAGTTATAATGATATATTATTTTTTAATTATCGTTATATACTACGTCATGAGAATTGAATTGTTCATGGAGCTTCGAATGATAACAATAAACCGATAAACCATTATAAAAAAAAATAAATATACGTGTAAGAAGCGAAACAATGACTTATTAAGAAAAAATCGTCATACGTGATTATATTTGGAATATTGGAGAGTAGAATTTTGTGCTAATTAGTTTTCCTTTTCAAAGTTGTTTGTAGCTCTACAAATCGCGAAAAATGTTACGCTGACGCTCATTTATTTTCAGATAATACAGTCTACCACTTATCAAATTCATCTGTGATTAGCCCTCTTATTTAAGAGGAATGTAAATTTTTAGGTTATCAAAGGGTTACCTTTGATTACTTTGAGGGTTTTAAGGACCAGTTTTAAGCGAGGGGCAAACCACAGTAGAATTCTGGTGTAGAACCCCTTGGAATTTTGGTGTACAATCCCTTGGAAACCATGAAATTCTTATGGAATTCATTTGGAATGTAATGCAATTATTTGGAAGTCACAGGAATTTTTTGGAAGTCAATGGAATTTTTTGAAATTCAATGCAATTCTTTTGCAGTTTTGGCAATTTTTGGAAGTCTGATCGCGATTAAGTAATGGTTGAGTTTGAAACGCGAATGTTGTTGGAGACCACCACTTCCTTCTGAAGCGGCTGGCCAATTAAGTACCGTACCTGGTATAAAGGCAGATTACGAGTACAGCGAGGCCCTTCAGGCATTAATCAATTAATTATATATACCCCGCGGCTTGGGAGGTTTTCTTTTGATTGATTTCAGGTTTTGGGTGCGAGAACAGCTCACTTCTTGGCGTCAACATCCAACTTTCTGCCAAGGTAAGAGTTGCTTTAAACATGTGAATTTTTGCCCGAAATATCAATTCATTAGTTTGTGAAAAGTTGTTTTAAAATTCAGTAATTAGTTGCTAATCGATCATTCTTGATTGGTGGTTAAGTAAATTGGGGGAATTTCAATTGTAGAGTAAAGTTACTAAAAGTTGTGAGTAATGTAATTCAGAATTTTGAGTATTTGGAGGAGTATTTTGTATTTCTGTGATACGCTATCGAATTCTGAAGACAATTTTTATGTTTGCTATTTGGTGTTTAAATAAACCAGTATCTCTTTTCGTACCTAACTTGATTTGTACTGTAATTACTACCATCGTATATTCGCAATTTCATAAGGGAAGAGTTAAGATAGAAATTGAGTGGCGCTCAACCCCAATGGTAAGTGGTAACGAAGTGAAGGAGATTAAATGCCCAGAACGAACTACTACTACTGCTTTGCTTTCTCAAGCTCTTATTTTGTTTTCGAACCATGAGCTAGTTAGCCGTTTTGGCGGCGGGTTTGAGGTAACGCAGCGCCAACTCTGCCAAGGTGTTATAACGTACTACTTACAAAAAAATTGTCTGTGTTTTTGTCTTGGGAGAGGCAAAGACACATTTACCAATGACAAAAATTTACGCGAAGGAACATTTTCAGATTGGAGACGAGCTCTTAACTTAGAAACGGAATTATGTAAATGTATTACGTTTAAATACTCGTTGTGGAAGCGAGATATTTTCTTCGTTAACATCGCTAACCGTAACCGCTAGTTAAAAGGTATTTTATGAAGGTTACGTAAAACATTTGTGTAGCGCTTTGTGCGATAAATAAGATTTTGTACACGCCATTCGACAGGAAATTTAAAGGAACAATTATTAGATTTACTTACAAAAACTTAATTAATTGGCCAAATTTTAATATTAACACAGTGGAACATTGGCGTTTTATTCCAGTGCATAATAGCAATATCGCGTATTGTTATCGCGAGAAAGAAAGACTGTTTTTTTGTTTTGTAGTGAAGAAGTATTTGTATTTGTATTTATTTAGCATAATATATGGTTATTGATATAATGAAAAAATTGGCAACAATCACATAAGCCAAGGCTCGTGCGTGATGGGTCATCGAGTATATATACATGTACACTAATACAAAAAAAAGAACAAAACAAAAATATAGAACCACATAAGGGCTAAAAAGAGATTCACGTTAGCTTGGAGTAAAAATCCAATTCTACTCCTAAAAGCCAATCCTTAAGTATGTGCGTTTTGAACAAGAGAATGTACCAGTAAATTATTTATGTGGTAATGGTAAAATCTCTAGATAAGCATCAAATTTAGTAGGGACACGTTATCAGGAAATAGGGATTGCATTGTTTATATTTCTTTTTATGAGTCAAACCAATATTTTGTAAACCAGAACGTGTAAAGAAAAATGGGAGACGACTAGACGAGTCGAGTAAACGGTGTATTGTACCAAAAATTTAGTAACGCTTGGTGCTGAGTAAACTAAAAATTTAGTGACGATCCCAAGTTGAGTAAGATGTTGAAAGAGTTATTTGTACAACTAGAGAAAAACTAGAAAGAAAGTTTCACACATCATTTCTTCTGAAACTGCAATCAAAATGGAAAAATTATCGTATGCAAAAATGAAGTTTGACAGGTCATGATTAAGATTAATGCAGCATTTGTTTTTTACTTTCCTCACACTTTTTAGAGACCAAAGTAATTTGTTTCTAAAGTAGTTTCAGAAAAAGTGTTGTTTTTTTATTATGCTTTTTAACTGACAACACGGCATGAAAAAGGGGCGGAGTTACCCTTTGGCTGGTAGTTCTTGGATGATAGTTATTACTTTTACGCGGTTAAAAATAGCGCAAAGCTCTCTTACACTGGTAATTGGTGTAGCTGTGGATTTTAAGCACAACCATCTCCAAATGCCAAGAAACACAGCGAAGAAGCTTACATTTTTACCTCTATCTTGTATATAGTGAGCAAACAATTGTTCTTTCCCTAATGGGGGCTTCCCGGCTTCATTTTTTATTTCTGATCTACAAAGAACATTAAAAATAAAAAGACCGTGTATCCTCAATTTTTATGTGCGATTAAAATAAACCCAAAATAAATTATTGAAAAGCTGTTTTTAGTCCGAATTTGAAACGCTTCAGTCTAAATACGTCACAAACCTAGAACCAATCACGTAGAAGTGAGCCGGCAACCTTGTGCGAGGGTCTGACGTTATAAGAGGCATCTAAACGCGAAAGTGAATGACAAGTGACACGTGCCTGTGACAGGTGACGCAAGTTACAAATGGCATTCTCCTGAAATATTGCCAAGTCGTGATGTCATCTGAATGGTTCTAGCAGCTGATTGGTCGGGCTTATTACGTCACAGATTCCGGCACAATCATCTTCGTTTTGAATAAACCCCTAATTCCGCACATGTTCATTATTTTTTTTCTAATCAAGTCACTATTTTTAAATAAACTTTTACTGTCCAAAAATTGTTTTATGGTTTCAGGTATACGCTTATTAAATTAAAACTACGGAATTCAACTATACTGTAAACCCCTATTCCCCCTTACAACCAAATCTGTCACTGCATCTAAAAATAGTTAACGTTTACTTGACAAAATATCACGGAAGGAAATATTTCATTGTGAACCCCTACTATAATGTAAGTCAATAGTGTCTGAATGAATGGACAAACACCAAAAAATGAAACATGTTGAGTACTAATAACATGCACTAAATGCATTAAATAAACATGTGTTAAATAATATGAAATCACCAAGAAATAACTAAAACTACTGAAATCCTCGATTACAAGTTACAACTAAGTAAGATCACTTAGTAAATCATGTCACATATTATCAAATAAGCTTCCCCAACAGAAAACGGAAACACCAGGAAAAAAGTAGTACCTACCTGACAAGATGTTAAAATAAGGAATAAATACAAATTTGTAAATAAGAGTACAAGAGATATGATTGGCACAGACTGAGACACTTATAATAACAGCATAATCTTGGTAAACATAGACTTCATTAGTCTACAATACCAAATTATTACATTTGCTATCAATATATGGACATGAACAGCAAAGAAACACCTGCACCTGGAAGCTTTATCAACCAGCTATATTTGGGAAAAATTATAAATATTCAACAATTCTTATTGCATTGCAACACTTCTCATGTATTTAACATTGAATACCATTTTATGTGCAGCATTTGGGTAAGAATACCTACAAAATATAGTTATCATTATTTAAAATCAATCACACATTAAGTACTTTAATAAACTAATTTATCTACAAGTGCTTAATAGTCCCTGCCAATCAACACACAAGCGCTCACCTGAATAAACGAAAACTGCTCAATTGAAATCCCCTGGTAACGTCACTGCAAATCAAGTGTAAGAAGCTACGCTGTTTATCTAGACTTAGTTAAAAGAAAGAAAGCTACAAGAGACGTGGGAGGGCTGGACCTGGGCTAAGAAATCTAAATCTCTGTATGTACAATTTTCAAATTCTACGTTCTGATCTCAAATCTACAAATTAGTGACAGACTAAAGCAGAACGAATCATGCAAATTTCTGCGGCTACTGCTGCTTAACTTACTTTAGAAAGTTGTCATTCTCCTCGTTCATTTTCTCGGCATCTTTCGTTTTATAGTGAATGAGTCGATCTAACAACTGCCTATTCTCCTCCTGCACAAAGAAACTGTTATTCAACGTGGGGAATCACCGGAACAAACCTGTAGCTTTCTCAATTTCTCCTCTAACGAAGCGAATGCCAGCTGCAAAGCCTGGTGTTCATCTCGTATGGTTTGATTTAGATTTTCAAGCTCCCTTATACTACTTTGGTACATACGAATTTCCGCACGAAGACTAGATATACAAGCTGCACTGTCGGCTAAGCTACAATAACAACAGTACAAAAAGATCGGGGTAAGTCACAAGTTTACCTAATTTCTTTATTGGATAACAGCTTCTCTTTCTCCTGAAGTTTAATATTAAGATCGATAATTTGCTGCGCATTCTCCCCTTTTCGCCGATGCAATTCGGTCAATTCCTCTTGTTGTGAAAGCAACTTCTGCTCGAGAAATTGGATTCGTTCGGTTAAACGGGCTTCTGACGCCGAATTACTGCCAGTTGTAGAGCTACCGCTAGCAACGGCTTCGGTACGAAGTTTTTCATTTTGAAGGGATAAATGTAAGTTCTCATTCCGTAGTGTATCCACATTTTCAAACAGTCGATTATCTACAAACAAGAGGTAAGGAGGATGGTATGCATCGGAATAACACAACACATACGTGCAGCAATAAGATCTTGAAAATATTCAGTTTGTGATCTATTTCTGAATTGTAATTGTGTAAATATGGCATTTCTCCAACTGCTTTCTTCTGTACTTGCCATTCTTACAATGAGAGTGAAATGAGTAATGAGATAAAAGTATGCTGTTTGTGTAAGATAAAATTGGTCATTATTTGTGCATCATTTTAAGTTGTTTATGATAATTAAACGTTACATAAAAATGTTAGTTTAAAATTAACAGGTTTGTGTGTATATGGAAAACTTTGGTTAGAAAATTACACAAAACCAGCTGATCTAAAATAGCTTGGAAATGAACCAAACTTGCCCTTTGCTTGTTTCAAAATTAAGATGTCACTATCTCCGATCCATATCGTACAAATCAGTGGCGTAACACATGTAGGGCCTCTCATGTGTTCCCATTTTTGCATTATTTATTTTGTTATGTAAATAGTACATCTGACAAACAGTGTACTTGAATTTTTATCTACAATGACGAAGTGACTAATAAAGGTAAATTATCAAATTATAGACGTCTAAGTATGCCAAAAGATTTCAATTTAATTTAAAGACTTTTTCCGGTAACGGAGCAGTCTTTTCGAAAAAAGGAATTACTCCAAATCAGAACCTGTTTCCAGGACCTGGTAGTGGGCCAGCTCTTATTCGCAAGAAGAATAGGACTGGTGCACAGAACGCCATGGCCAATAAGCGCTGGCTCGAGGGTGAAACTTCGGCAGGTTTTCGCTGGTATCCTGAAGGTGCCGTTGCGGCTGGCGCGTCTTTGAACGTTCAGAGGCACGTCCCTAAACTAATCAAGATGATGGCTGTGTTATACGGGCTCCCGGATGACACGGCCAGTCGGCCGCGATCTTGAAGCGCTTTCAGAGACAAAATCCTGGTTTCAGGATGAGTCTATGGAGGACGTTCTTCCGTAGGGAGGAGCCTGGTAGGGATCTCCTCGCATTTGGTGTCTATGAGGTATTCGGGAATTCCAGCGGCAGAACTTTCAAGCGCACTCGGTGATGCGCACGTCTCATTTGTGGTGAAAGCGAGTGCTCCGGCTGCACCAGGTAAAGGAGAGGGCTTCACTACAGTTCCGTTGCCCGGAGGGCGCTCAATCCCTCGTATCGACCTCGAAGGGGCGTCGGGATTACTACCGGCGCCCTCAGAGGTCGAGAAATATATCGACGAGCTTTCGACTCGTGTGGTGGTTCCTCGCTCTAACCAGGGATCGGAACCGTTGGCATCAGTAGGGGAGGGGGTAACCTAGTACATCCGTGATGGCCAGTAAGGAGGCGACCTACTTAATAAATCCTCAAATTTGTTACGCCATGCCTCTTACAAAAACCATGAGTTTACAGGGGACACGTAAAAGATCTGGGCCAGGTGAAGGACCTTCACGGAGACGGCTCTTCACAGCCTTGTATGCAGGCTGGAGAGGGGAATGTCTGACGGGAGGGGTGGACTGGGAGCGTTGTTACTAGATATCAAGGATGCGCTTAACACCACGTTCGATTCATTTAGTGAGGCTGCTGAAAGCTTTGGCATTGATGTGTCAATCGTAAGATGCTTACGTGCCATGCTCGGAAGCAGTCGGGTACTCAATCGGGACGACGAAGATGAGCTCATCGGTTACTACAGGATGTCCTCAGGATGAAGTGTTGACCTCCGCACGAGGACGGAGTGTATACACAGGGATACACGGAAGAGCTCATGCAGGGGATAGGTCGATAGATGGTGCAGTAGCCATACCCATGGTCTCTCCGTTAAGAGCGAGGTTGTTCCATTTAGACGGAGAGCAGACCTTGATGGGCTCACTCTTCGAGGAAGTCAACTAGGTCTGACGACTGAATAGCCTGACCTGGAAAGGGCACATTGAGAAAATAAGCAAAAAAGCCACTGTATGTCTATCAGCATCTAGAAGGGCTTTTGGCTGTACATGGGGCTTGAACCCTCGACTGGTATATTGGCGATCCACTGTAATGATAAGGCCAATAATACTGTACGGTGCACTTGTATAGTGGTCTCCCATGCGCAGGGCAATCTACAGTGAAGGAAATTTAACTTGGGTATTAATACGGGTCCGCCAAGATTTGAGAACCACCAGGATTTCACAGAAGATGTTCGTTTCGTATCAGGAGCCCTTTGAAATAATGCAGGTGAGGCCACCTACGTAGTCAATTTAGCCGGCCCGTGTAGCTGAACTGTGGTGCTAAGGGTCCCTGGTTCGAATCCGGGTTCCGGCATGGATATTATTAATGCATCCCATAGTGGGTTGGGTTGGGTTGGTAGAGCAACCTTGCCGACTCAAAAATAAAGACAAAATAAAAAATAAAATAAAAAATAGGGTAGACTGCTTGAAAACAGGTGTGTGGATGATGTTGTAGAGTCCAGGACGATTCTATTATTTGATGAAACAGCCATTAACACCCTGGAGGATGAATTATCGGACGAGGATGAATATTATGATTGAGGCTACAATTCGATTCCACCCAGTAGCGTACGCAGGATTTTTTTTCGGGAGGGGCTGACTCGAGAATTAAGACCAAAGTATGTAAATTTTCACGTACTTATGTCGTACATATTCGCAAGATCAAGTAAGCAAAGGAAAAAGTTAGGTAGTTTTTCCAGCAACTGCAACATTTTTATTGTCGCTTGGCATTTAAATAATTATACCATGACTGACGACTTACGGGATGTGCCGGGGGGGGGGGCTGCAGCCCCTTCAGCCCCCCCTTTGCGTACGCCGGTGATTCCACCCCTTGAGAAGCCTAACTTACCGATTTCCCTGGCCCGCCATTAGGCCAAGCAGAGCGGACGCTACAAGAGCAACAACTGCCGTTGCGGTACCCTTACGCCCTTCGACCTAGGGGTTCGATTCGGCACCCACCGCGAGTAGTCGACGGGAAAGTAGTATCTGTGGTGCCCATAACTCTCTCACGAGATGCTCCCTTTATTTTCCAAATGTTTATTGGTTTTTATTATATTCGATTTTACTTTGTTTAAAATAATGTTTAAATAATCGCGTTTTTGTAAATAATACATAATAAGTAAGAAGCAAATTTACTATTAGGTAGGTACTAGATGTTGCTATTATTATTTAAACAATGTAAATAATTATTAGTCCACGATTGCGGAAGACATTGGTTGCAGAGTCGAAAAATTAAAATGCGTGATTCAAGTAGTATGACGACAGTGATGATTTTGATTTATTGGAAACCAATTCTCCAAAATGGTTGTTACAGCATACTTTGAAAAGATTAAGGGTACATCCTATATTAATCAAAACAGACAGAGTATTTGGGGAATATCATCATTTGCTCAAAGAATTGTGTAATTATTCCCACGGCATTTCTCGTATCTCGTATTTCAATTTTCAATTATTATTGTTTAAAGCTCGGTTTAAACAAAATTGAGATGTTTCTGATTTTGAATACTTAGTAGGTACTCAAAAACACGCATTTAACAAAAATGATCAAAATCGGAGCTGTTACTGAGAATTGAGAAGTTAGAACCTTCATTGACTACTAATAACAAGCAAAAGAAACAAAAAAAACTTCCGTGTAAATGTTTCTTTATGTCTATAACTCGGTTGCGCTTGGGTAATGTTCAATATAGGCATCAGTGATCGGTCACTCTTTGTTTTTTTTGGCAATTTTCAATTTTGTCCTCGGTCCTCCACTCAATTCAAATTTTTAATATTATGCACCTTCATTGTTTTTTACTTTTGACGCATATTTATGACTATGAGGTACCAATGCGATCGCAGAATTAAAAAAAAAGTGTATTACAAACTGAACGTTTCGTGTATACTGGGACTCTGCAGTTTAGCGCTTATCGTTACCATGGAAACTGCATATCGCGACGTAGCGTCTGTAGGCTAGCTGACATCCCAGAGATTAGGGGGACGGTAAAGAGCCTTTCTGTCACGTTTTTGAGCTTTTGAACTAAGGATTTATTTTTATATTAGGAAATTATGTGATTTTTGAAAACAATGCTTATATTAAATTAGTAAAAATTTATAAAATGTGAAATACGCGTTACGACGTGGAGTGTTTTTTTGTAGGGAGGGCGGCGCCCCATATATCGCCCATGCACGAGCCGCCTCTATCTAAATTGTCAAAATAATAATAATAATGATTGCAGCATAATATACTGTTTGGTCACCTTTACAATCCAATCTGAAAAAAATACAGTTGCATTATGCGCCAAAACAAAGGAAATTAACGCAAACCGAAATGATTTGGTTTATTATGTTTTATTTCAGAAATATCGGATCTACAATATTTGGATTATTTAACCAATGCAAATTTTATTTGCTACATGAAATAATTATATCAAATAACTCTTAAGATATCTTTGTAAGGTTTGAGTAGGTATAGAAATACCTTTACATAAGCAATCACTTGTATGATTTAAATTTTTCAATACATAATTTATATATACAGAAATTATTTCTTATCTAATTACCTATTCTCTCGTGAACTTTTATCTTCATTTTCAATTTTTAACGTAATGTTTAACTGCATTAATAACTTGAACTAAAAATAATGGCACACCAAAAGTATGACTGAATAGTTTAACAAGTTTTCATTAATTATAGGTACCTATCTTTATACATCTTCCTTGCAATGTTTTGTAGAAGAACATTATAAAGAAGAATGCAGTTTGTATATATAGTATTTAATTCTAATATTATTGACAAAATAAACAACAATCTTAATACTTAAGATTCATTTTGAACAAGTAATTTAGTGAACATTTGACAACGTTTCATCTCACTACCAATTTACATTTTAATTACTTAGTTGTTGCTTTCATCTATGTTCATGAACACAATGCGTAGGTCTGCTGAACCTAATGTTTTTTTCTCATATTTAACCAAAGATTAAAGTACATACGTTTTTTTGGAAAGTAGCGTTTACAATGCATTGCAACTTTGTAAGCGGTAACTAGTGTGATATGTTAGAAACATTTTTTTTTGCATCTACCAATAATAGTTTTCTAGTACTAAAGATCCGGCGCAAATATTTCTAATGTAGTTCACAAACAAAAGTAACATGAGTTCAAGGGTGTCTACTTTGTGGTAATTTTGCTGAAAAACTTTGTCCAACTTTTTTGCATTTCAAGCAAGTCATGTCACAACCTCTAAGGAGCAAATTTGTTAATTTATAATGGTATCATTTGTCAAATAATTCGGATTCATAGTGTGGTCTTGTTGGAAGTAGACCCACTGTAACAGAAACATAGAAAAACTTAAGCGTCAAATTTAGCATTAGTTAAAATTCCGTTTAAAATTTTAGCGATTAGTGTTTAAATTTTAATTTTGGGCGCTACATTATATTACGTATAGGTATAAATTAAATAAATTATAAGCAGAGCATAATCATAAAAAATTATAAAACTGATTTACTGTAAATTTAAAATACCTGGCCTTTCTCACACTCATTTCTTTATTATCAAGTATTTTCTTAATCTTGTGAATTTTAAAATTATTTTTTAACGTTTTTGCTATGTTTCTGCGTAATTAAATATGAGCAAACACTTTCTTGGCAAGATGTATTTTTCACAACCTGAAAATAGAGTTTAATACTACATAGCATAAGCTTCCTCAATGAGCTTTGGTACGCTGTATTGTAAAGAAATATTTTGGTTTAGGATCTATTTTAAATACAGACTTCGTAAACTATAATATATTGCTACGATTAAATTGGTTTCATTGCTACATTGTGCGTTGTGCAAATTGTTACTAAGAGAAGAACAACTTTACGATGTTTACCAATTTTTATTCTTACTCTTATATGATAGTGTAGCTTAGTCTAAATTGTGTTGGAAGAGCAAGTTATCAAATAAGAGACTATAGATTGTAGAGTAGTATTGATACTTGTAATGATTGTGTTTATGTTGAAACATGTTAATAGTTGCAAATAATAGGTATAAATGCTATTCACTGCCCCTAAATAAAATATACTAACAGACTAAAAGTAAAAGCACAATTGGTAGATATTATTGTAAATCGTCTGAATTTTCTCTTTTGCTCATCCTGAAACGTATAACTTTCAAAAAGCTGTAACGAAACTTTTCTTAATTTGATCAGAGTGCAGAAATTGAAAGTTAGTGCAGAGTTGGAAAAATTGCGATTTTATGATTTCATCCATTTTCTGTCTAGTTAACCATTACTAACCCTGCATGTATTTTGATCACACTGTGTAGCAGTTCCCTTTAAAACCAAACTTAGAAATTGAATTACAGCATTATTTAGATAAAATGTTTCATAATGACATTTAACTTAGTCTTATTATCTTTAAAGCAGGCACTAAAACAAAGTTTATTTTACCACCTTTGTTTTAAACGGTACTTTTCATTTTATTTGAAATTTAATCTTATGAAAGCAAAATTTAAGAATATTCTCATCACACTATATGTTTTTGGTATCCATAAACATTGATTTTTTTCTAAATAACAAGCAGTTTATACAAATTAAGATGCGTTTTCTTTTGGTTTTACATATTTTTGTTTAAAAATATAATATGATGTACTAAAGCGTTAATACTCTGCAAAATAACGCTTGTCTTAGAAATTTTGCAGAGAATCCAAATCCGAAGACTCTTGTTGTCAGTATACCCACGAGACTGGTATCCATTGTGGAGTATTGTGAACACGGTCGATTGCGTTTTCTAATGCTGTAATTGTTTCTTCTATATCATTATTAACAATAGTCAAATCGAAGTAGTGTCCATACGCCTGACGAAGCATGTCGGATTCTTTCGCCAGCCTTTCTAGGCTACCGTCATACTGCAAAAATCAATTTGTTAACTTATAATGAGTTTTAAAACGCCTTACATCATTTAAATTCTGCAAAGCAGGTGCGGCGATAAAGACAACATACGGTGAAAATTCGGCAGTTCGTAATATTTTAAGTGCTTGGGGTTCTACATCCAGTATTGCCATCTTTCCCTCGTGATGAATTTTTCTAATCGTCTCCAATTTTGTGCCATACATTGCTTCTTCATGTGTTCCTGCACGAACGTTTCACTTTTAAAACTAAAACTATTTATTTACTTACCATATTCTAAATATTCATTCGCAGCTATGTCAGCCATCATTTCATCATGGGAGACAAAGAAATAATTTCTTCCATTTTCCTCATCCGGCCTCGGCGCTCTTGTGGTATCTGTAGCAAACATTAATTTTAATTCCACAAAAATTACGACAGTAATGGCCAATAGAAGCAGATTATTCCAAAATAACTCCGTTTTTTGCACTTACGTGGTATAGGATATGCATACTGATCAGGATGCTTTGCTATAAGTGTGTTTTTAATATGCCGTCGGCCTACTCCGTGAGCACCTAGTAGTACCAAGGTTTTCCGTTTGAAAGCAGGGTCCGCCACTAGAAAACCAATAAGGAAAAACCGTAATTTATTTTGAATTGCTTACAAGTAATACTCACTTGGTAATTTAACAACCTCTTCATATGTAACTAAATCTAATTGGTCGAAAACTGCGTTATGTTTTGCCAAATATTTATCCTTATATTGTTTCTTCTTACGACTGAAGATTGAGCAATTGACTAAAATTGAAATAAAGCTTAATAAGAATCGTGTATTCGTTTTTGCTGTAAACAAAATTATTAAAAAACATTACAGAATAAAATTCAATGAACTTAACAAATTATCCAAATTCATTTCACTTTTTTTCCTGTAATATAACGGTGGCTTTGCATATTAAGTTCATTTAAAACCGCTGTTTTGTATACAAGAAAACCTTTCATCTGTACATGAATTAGGATGCGTAACTGTAACATGCGTTTTATTAACATATTTGTAATAGTTATATGTGCGATCTTTTAATCTAGAGAACTATATGGCCAATTATGATTTGCATTATTGTAATACAGTTGATAATATTAACGGGTAAAATTCCCAGCAGATCACAAAATATATCACTTATCTAAAGGTAGCAAGTTAACATCGTTGGTTAGGTTGAAGTGAAAAGTCTCAATTTTCACATTCAAAAATATGGCCGAGCCATATTATATAAACGTTTGAAAAACGACATGCATCATGCTGTGGTAAGCATTCCGATATGTTAATCATGCCTTGTACCTGAGGAACCATCACAACCATTTGCATGAGAAGTACATCCTTTCTCCATGTCTTGCATTCAAAAAAAGTACAGGTCATAGCAATACAAAATTTTTAATAGTTTTAAATTTAATTAAAGTAACTTAATTCACAGGTTCTATTCTTAGTGATAAACTTACTTAGTCCTTTTTAATTAGTATAGTAGAAAGAAAAACACCAAGTGCATGCAAAAATATTTAAATACAAAATTTATGAGCTGCTGGAAAAATATGATCGTCCAAAATTTGTTTAGACAAAGATTCCTGTTTAAGTAATGCTACTGCTTAAATTGTCCTGTTTAAGTTTATAACAAATAGAACTTTGATTCATTCCTATAAACATTTCAAGAAACATCGAAAAATTTATACAAGAAGATATGCACATTTAGTTTGTGTTTAATTTTGCAAAACTATTACCTTGTTCATGTTTGGTTTTTTCCATAGCAGCACAAGCTGCCCTCCACTCCTGAAGCTCTGGGGAAGGAATTAATCCAGCAGAACCAGCTGAATTATCTTTTCGTGCTTGCCACCAATGATGATCATCTTTACTAATTATCTGTAGAACAGAATTTCAACTAATTTGAAGATATATGAATCGTATGCACTCACTTGTAAAATATCACCAGTTTTAAAAGCAATTCCAGCTTGAGCGCAGGGTATTAACTCATCCTCCAATGGGTCGTAATCAAACTGAGCTCTAACAAATATCTAACGAAAATTAAAAATTATTAATACTTGCGATTAAATAGTCTATTACAAACAAATATAAGAGCAAACATTGCAAGATATGTTTTGTCAATCAATCAATTAAAAGTTGTCAACAATGGTTGAATAATGAGAAGAAAAAGTAATATACGAAAAAAAATGTGAGCAAGTAACTAACAAACCTGAATCTAAGAAGTGCACTAAAACAGCACTAAACTAAAAGCACATCACATCAGAACCAGAACCTATAAGTAAGACTTTGGTACTTACTAAAACTGGAAGAGGTTTGATCCTGAACAACTGGACAGGCACAGAAAAGAAAGTATTTGTAATTAGCTTAAGAACAATTCGACCGCTTACTGTAAGGTACTATAAAAAGCAGTACGAGGAAAATAAAAAGAAACAGGCAAAAACGAATCGAAAAACTTCTTACATATAAATAATATGAATGATGTTAAAAACATGTCTGGTGAGATGAGATGTGCTTTCTGTAGTTAAATTTAAAAAAAAAAGTAATTATAAAATAAAACAACAGAAATTTATGTAAATGTATAGATGTAAATTTTTGGTTACGCTGTATTGTCGTTTGTCATCTTTATAACCATTGCAAAGGTTTATTACTTTGTGGGGAGTTTTTTTTAGGAATTTATTATCTCGTGCGTTTAAACCCCCGCAGATTTAGCAATGAAATTGAGTCAATATTATTTTGGTCGCTGTATTCGGCATTCTATGTTTAAAATTAGCCCTCGATTGGAGCGTTTCTCGTTTCCCTTTAATTTAATGTCGTTATTTGAAATAGTTAAGGGGTGGTGTTCTATGCGACATCACTTTAAATACTGCGTATAATATATGAAGTAATAATCGGCCGCTGGTCTCTAAATAGATTAAATAAACACAACGTGTTAATTTTGCACAAATGTGCGGGAAGTTATGGCGAACGGATTACGGTGAAGATTGGGTCAAAAACGGAGAAGAGTTCGACAACGACCAAAAAATATGCTTTTGTGGGAATTATAATGAAGACATGATATCAATAAAGAAACTCCTAGTAAAATTGTGCTGAATATGTAAAAAGTGTGTTACACACACACAAGCACAAATTGCGGTTGACGTAATTGATATCATGCTGTTTCTGATTTCATATTACAAATGATTCTTCTAAAACTATTTAATAATTACATTTTAATTTCACCGTTAATACAAAAGGGTTTCTATCTTAAAGATTAATTAAATAGGCATATTTTTATAGTTCCGTTTGCTGAAATGATCGAGATATGATAAATCGGTTCCAATTATTTTAAGAGCACTTTCTACATACCTACAATCCGAAGAGATGCAGAGATAAAGTGACGGGCAGACGGAAATATTTTGTCATAAAGGAGCCCAGGCAATCTTTTGGATAATTTCAGAATTTCAGGTCAATAGTACTCTCGAGTAAAACTAAGTAGATTGAAAAACGAATGATACAATGTTCGGATAACTACCTACTTTTCCCATTAGGGATTTAAGCATTTTTTTACAAGTTTCGTTTGGGAATTACCTACGCTCAAAAAAAGCCCAAAATTTGTGTTTTTTGTTTGACTATACATCTCGTTCTGACTTCCATTTCTCCATGAGTAAGTACCCTCTTCCGACACTTTGTTCTCAAGACACTATGCCACGTTCAGACGATTCATTTTGTCTTTGAGAGTACTTTCCTCCGACAAACAGTTTTCTAGATATTCACTCTTAAATTTTTGACATAACCAATGGATGTATTTTCCAGACGTCCCAATCGCCCTTTGTAAGTACCCTCCTCCGACAATCTGTTCTTGAGATATAAGGAATTATGTCCAATCACGATAAGGGGTCGGTCGACACATTAATTTCTTTCGTTGACACCTCTCATTAGAGTACCATGAAGAATAAAACCAGTCCCCCCCCCCCCCCCCCCCCCCAAACCCTCTCTTTTGATAAGGGGCCAGAAAGAAATAGTTGGTAGAAAGTAAAGTAGTTCAACACGACAGAAGTGGGTCCGGACGGTCAGATAAAACAGTTGCACATTCTTTTAACTCTTAAAAAAAGGCGCTAAACATGTAAACACATCGACATGATTCGAGGCAAGTGACTTGGCGCATGTATACCTAAATCGCGGTACGCGAAATAGTCGAGCGCGACATCATTGAAGAAAGAAGTTTTCAAAAAATTCTATAATCCGATCGGGCGCAATATTGTAAATCTAAATCATCCGGGGGCCCGCAGAAACCCATGAAAAAATTCAGTCACAATACACGTACAAATAAATCTTATTTGTAAAGATGACTGTATATAAAAGCTTCACAGTGTTATTAAATCTGTAATTGTACCACTAAGTATAGTCATATAATTTAATGTCTAGGAAATTTTTGATCCTAGACGAAAAAAGGTGTCTCACAATTAATGTCGGGTATTTATTTCTCGAAACGGAGGCTTCAAGATATTTTGAAAAATTGAACGTATACTGATGTCAAAAAGTTGGTAGCACTTCCAGTCATTTCGGAAGTTGACGCCACCTCTATATTGCTTTATTTTCAGATTTCTGCGAAAATTTCAGGTTTTCTTATACCTATTGTCAACTTTTTTTACTTACCTTGATTTTTAAAATGTGTTGAAGAGCCTTATTTTCAATAATGTACCTTTTATCTATTTTCGACTGGTGTTAAGTGCTTCTGGGGTTAGATGGAAGCACAAGAATATGAGAGAAGACAAAAATTGTATATCTTTAGTTCGAACCATAAACGCCAACCCACCCCAGCAACTCATACCAAAAGATGAGTGCGGTAAACGAAAAACGACCGAAGAACGAACGTCCACTGCAAAGGATGCCGATCCCAATTGCTTTCCGTGCGGAAAGGATTGAGTGCCCCCCGGGAAAACACGAACGCAGCCCAAGTAGACTTTTACCTGGAAGAAGTCCGAAAGGGCCAGCAAATTGCAGAAAGATTCCTGGAAGATTTTGAAGTATTTCTAAGCGGATTCTTCCCGAGAATTGGCCTTTTTCCGGCACTCGTTACCCGAAATATTCACATTTGAAGTGCAACAGCCGCAATCGATTTACCTATACGCATATTGGAAAAAGCTACTACTGGAATTGTAATGAATGACTTGCTTCTGTACATGCTTTGCGTTTAGAGGCTATTACTAAAATTTCATAAAAATGATCCCACATTTTTTCGTTCCGAGGCTCGGGTTAATAATATTAGCATTTATGTATTTCCGATCGGGGTGTAAAACACGTTAATAAGTTGGTGGCAGAGGAAAGCAAAAGAAACATTTTTTTCCAAATAAACTGTAGGTTCAAAATTCGCGTTTCTTCTTTAAGTTTATTTATAACCTTTGAAGGATGTGTGATTTTGCAAACATTATTCAAAGTCGCAAACGACATACTCAAAAAAATACTTTCTTGTATTAAATGAACTGCTAAAGACGCGTTATGCTCAAAAAATGAGTGTACCTGTCAAATATCATGAAATTCCGACTTCTTTTTTTTGTAACACGACTAAATTGCAGTTGGATTTTTTTTGAAATTTTGTCGAATTAATTTTTCGATTCGTTATTTTCATGTCGAATATGGACCAGATACCGTCAAGACCAGAATTTTTTGCACGCGAGTTTTGCCGTTGACAATTTCATACTAGCAATTCTGGAATTTTTTTACAAAACCGTAAAAGGTTAGCCAAAAACCTGATACGGTTTAGAAGAAAACAGAATATATTTTCGATTTATTTGGAAATCAGGTCTGGCCTGGTCCTTCCCAATTTTTTTTACATACTTCATTGTTACGCCCTGTATAGGTTTATATTGTGTAGAAGTGGAGTAAATGTACAATGCACTAATGCAGTGTTCTCTAAAATAAATTAGAATGGAATCAATAAACCCGAGAGTGCATAAACACAAGTTAAATCCCTGGTTAAATCAAACAAAAACGTTTCAAAACAATTCGTTGATGTTTATGAATGTTTCTATAACAATACGTTTTCATTTATCCATAAATAATAGAGATATTGCAATCGCAATTACACGATTAATGAATCGCAAGTGCGTGTAATGTTTGCAACCTATTCATCAGGGAGAGCTTAATTCGTTGCCGTTGCCAACACTAATTATATTACAATCAAACCACCGCCACAATTTGATTTAACTGCTGACGTTTGTTAGTTACAACAAGTGTTCATATCTAGCAATATGAATGTTGAAATCGTAGTAATTATAATTATTAGGTTATTTAATTATTACAAAATGCATTACTTCCAATAAAATTTACAAGCAATTTACAACAATACCTAGGTGATTTCCTGCAAGAGGGATGTAAAAACAAAAGATTAAGTGATTACCTACATTTACCTATACCATTGAATAAGTAATCATAGGTACGAATTCAATGTCTACACACAAACATCCTCGACGAAAACCGCATAAATTAATTCCTTTATCGCGTATTCGGCCTTTTGCGCATTTTATATTTAATTTAGTTTATTTTTAAATACGGCTTTAAAATTGTGAACCCTAATATTACACAGATTTTAATATTATACATATACCACAAGCTTTTTGCTCGGTTATTTTAGTATCTATTGACGTATGAGGTTATTTAATGTATTTAGTAAATTATACCTATTGTTTTCAGAGTTTTTGTTTTATGCAAATTTTAATGAAACACATGACATTTCACATATGTGCTTTATTAGAACCTGATGTATGATAATTTGAAGAGTGTGGACTGTGCCGGTTTTTACGCCTTCAACTACCCGGGTGTACTTAACTACCACCTTTTTCTTAAGTAAACATCCGGGCGTTGATTCATAACATTCCCAATAGCCAGCATTTTAAGGACGGTTTGTTGTATCACCAACATATTGCTATGTAAACAATGTCAATGTGGGCCCGAATTAATGACGGGTCATTTTTTTAAGTCAAATTATTAAATTATTCTGGTGGGGTCTTTACGTGTAAACACAAAACGATTATTGCGTTTCTAGTTATGTCCAAGGTGGTTACCGTTTAATGTGAATAATTTCTAGAATTGTTAACATTGTCAACAAACTTGTGCCCAATTACAGTGACCCGCTTAATGCTTTTAAGAGGTGCCCCCGCAGAAATTCTTAAGTTGTTCTATACTACTGCAGTATTTACCTTACGAATTAAGAAAATTGCAGGAAAACCTAATTCGGAGTAGCCGGCAGAATGCTTGACACTGATCTAAGGCAATTTCCATGTCTGTCACAGATAAAAATTCTCACCTCAACGCAGGTTCGAACACCTAATGCTCTACCACTGAGCTATATAGACGGGCGGTTTAATGATTATTATGTGAAAGTTCTGTTTTGATTTATGAGCACTGTTATTACTTTTGTTAAAATGATGATTTAATTTATTAGCGATACAAATGCGTTTTAACGAGTGTTTGTGAGGGAGTGTGAGAATTTAGCGTAAAGGGACCAGAAAGGGATGCGCGATTGGATGTTGTGTTGCCACGTGTCCGGTATTTGGAAAATTTTCCAATTTTGGAAAGTAGGAGAGTGATTTTAAATACTGCAGTTGGTCTTAGAAGAGGGCCAATTTCGAGGCCGAGTTTTTAGTGTACACAGAGTTGTTTTTCGTAATTTTTTAAGTAAAGTTTAGAACAGATAAGTCAAAAAATAAGCCGAAAACAAGTTGTATATCGAAAAAAAAATGGGAAGAACATAGAACATACCAAGGAACCTTGAGAAAGACGCACATAATTGTGATTCTGAAAGAGGAAATTGGTAAATTCTAATCCCACAATTAAGTAATTAGGAGTAATCTAAACATTTGGAGTAAAGTAATTTTGCCTATAGTGCCTTAGAAAAAATAAGGAATTCTACTAGCCTGTCCAAGGTACTAGTCAGAGTATTCTGGGAAATATTTACCTGCGTAATTAATTATAATTAGGAATAAAGTTGTCGCAGTCAAACTATCAGCCTGTGTAATCCTATCAAACTTATTATAATTATTACGTGAAACAGAAAAGGGAGATTTTATTATTCTTTGAAAAGCACGACGAAAGCTTAGTATGAAGATTAACACAAGGTGGTGCGCCCAACAGGTCTTACCTCTCTCAGTTTGGGTCTCAATTCACAGCACCTATTAAAAATGTAAAGCATTGAGCGAAGCCTAAGTGATAAGGTTCAAAAATAGAGCTAGGTATTGTGTTACTAATGTTGTGTATTGTCTTGAAATAGAAGCAACGTGATTCATAAGCAAAATTAGTATTAATAGTAAGTTCTAGCGAGTATACCACCCACTAGATAGTTATCTAGTCCAAATACAAAACTCGAAACGTTGCAGGAATTGTTTGGATGGAAAAATTACAAAATTGCACAGTAGAGAATAATATTCCAAAAGTAGCACTAGGTACCAAATGAGCTGATGTACAAGTAGGATAGTGTTACTGTGAGATCTTGACAAATTTACGCCATCACAGAGGAAATAAAAATATATAAAACAAGTTTCCAGTGCTGAGATCTCATTCCTCGAACGGATAGACGAATAAAAATTCGTTTTGGAAGAATGCGGCAGCAAACGCGGTACTAAACACCTCAAGCAGAATAGATATTCGTCCTGGAAATCGTAATTAAAAAAGATTTGAAATAAGCAAAGCGTTCCAATTCGTTACACTTTATTTATCGGAAAATTACAGGGTAAATGCTTTTTGTTAACCATGAGATCGGAACGGAAATAGCATCTGCTTCCTTTGAAATAAAGAAAAATAAAATGGAGTCGCCACCCAATAAACGTAGCGTAATCGGCGTAAAAGGTCCAAGTAAATGCGTGAACTATAAAAATCAATCGTTCAAACACTTTGTGACGCGGAAACTCGCTTATTGCAAGCTTGGCAAATATATGTACTTGTTTATTACATCAAACGTCCTTTGTGCAGCCTCCAATTAAATTTAGAGGGATTCCGGTCTAGGAAAAAGCCTACATTTAGATCTACAGGATATTAGTCGGTAGATACGTTTAAAATTTCAAGCGCTTTTTTCATGATTATTTTATTTCGTGTAGAATAATACTAATTATCCAACATTTTTGATTCGTATATGCAAACCACTGGATACTGAAAAATATTAAATCCTTTATAATGACAAATAGAATTCGATGTCCCATTTACAATTTTAATTCATTCCACACATACCTACGCGAATGCAAATTTAGGGAGAGTAACATGTAATTAAATGGGGACTGCCGAATTTTAAACTGGAAAAATCGACGTAATAAAATAGTTACGTCCAAATTATACTCTAGTACATGGTACACTTCATCTTGTTAATTCCCAAAGAAAACATGGGGAGAGGGTTATTTTATAACGTTATAAGGGTTAAACTGATTTATGACGCAATGTCCAAATTAATTTCTATGTAAATTGAAAACCCTCCCTTACATAATAAGGAAGCCACTCAAAATCACAACTTTTTGCTTTAATAATATCATCAAGTGGCGATTTCGAGACACCTACCTATTTAGGTTTTTGTTTTTGCATATTTAAATGAAATGAATGTTAATCATGCAGCATTAGCAGAAGCGGTATAAAAGATTACACTAACCTCGCAAGGCGGCGGAGCACTTCGATACGATGGAACAATTTTAAAAGTAATTGAACCTCTCGCCTCCCTCTATAAAAGTCATCATATGTACAAAAAAATTAAGTGATTTTCAAAAGCTGTAGAACTTACGAGAATTTTTTGCAGGGCATTAACGGACTGGTTTTGTACAGGTATTCCATTAATCTCCCTTATTTCGTCACCGACGTGAAGTGTCGCTTGTCGATGGATCATACCACCGTGCATTATCCTCGCTACAATGCATTTGCCATCTTCGTTCATTTTTAACGTTATTCCCTGAAAAGTGAAATCTATTAGATAAAGTCGCTCATTACATTTAAGATTATTGTTATAGGCTTCTTTGGCACAAGAAATTCTTTTAAAAACTCGCTATTATGACTGATAGAGTGTCCTTAAAAGTCTTAACACTCGAAAACGTTACTACCTAGCGAACCTGTTGGTGACAGCAATAATAGAAGAAGTATAAATAATTATGGAGAGAGGTTTGGAGGTGGTTTTTATGGAATGAACGCACACGTGGGCTTGAAATACAATGAGGTAGCATATAACATTAACCGTTGGAAATGGAGAGTTTCTAGAATATACCGAGATCAGATTTTGTGAAGTCACATATTACGAATGAGTGGAATCAGATTACTCATTATATAAGGATTCACCCCTGGATTCACCCAACAGCATGGTGTATAGCTTTATCATACACCATGCCCAACATTAAGTTTAGCCTTTGGTAGTACGCAAATAATTTTGTATTTAGAAGACAACTTATTTAAAATTGGTGTTTTGGAGTCCGCCTCCTGTTCATGTGGTTTTGAAAGCGCCGACTTAATTAAACCAACTAAACATTAATATTTGAGTAGAAAACGGAAAAAAATTTTCAAATGGAGAAAATATGTAAACGAGCTAGGGTGAGTTTATATACAAAATGTATTCGTGGTGAAATATCATAAATTTCAGCAAGTCCATTTTCTGAGAGTCGAAAATATTGTACATTTTCACCACCCTGTCTGTCAGCCAGGCACGTAGCTACCGGGAATTTTATAGGGCATGGGTTACAATCCTCTTGTTTCAACGATTCTAACGATATATTACTTGCTACAACCACGAGTTGAGTCGATTATATTTTATAATTATCTGGGAAACAAATGCCACTAATTTTCTGAAAATTTGTGCATTTTATTAGTTATTCAATGAATCTATTTCGTCTAAAAGATGTTTTAAATTTTATACTATTTTTGGTAATACCGGGAGTTGGCAAATATATAATTTCTTTAATTTTTTTATTGATTCATCTTTTTTAATTGTTGATCACACCCTGTGTGGATTATTAACGAGGATCGTTTGTAATTTTGTATTGCTGTCTGTCTCTCTATGTGTCTGTCAAATAAATTAAAGCACGGAGGATGAATTTTCAAGCCTTAACCCTCCAAAATCTCAAAATTTGATAGTTGGACAAAAAATAAATTGTTATGTGAGCTACGTCATGCGGGCGTTTTTTTATGGTTTCAGCATCTACAGTAATGATGGATCACCCTATATAACTTAAATCTCTATTTTTTTTTCAAGTTTAAATGTGGTTGTCATTGTAGATTGAACACAATTTCGATCATATTTGAATTCGAAGTCTACATATTTGATTTGTTTGGGAAATATTAAATGTTTAATTTTGTTTAGGTAAATAATCGCTTTGGATTGTGATTGTTTTATTGATCAGTAAAATTACGTTAAAAAAGATTAGGGACATCTGAAAGTAATTGCGTTTTGTGATTTTAAAAATATAATTAATATATGTATAATTGATTAATAATAAAAGTCTTTTTTATAGATACTACTACAGAACAGAAATAATGATACAAATAAGGAAGAGTAGAGGCGGAGTTCAGCTGAGATGCTCTTCCACTCAACCTCTATAATAGTATAACCAAGGAAATAAGTTGCGTAACGTAAACTAACACTGACTAAATATAATACCTTAAATACCTACTACAAAAGTAAGTATTATATTCACTCAGTTATAAGTAGTAAGAGAACAAATGAGTGAATTGATTAAAGAAAGAGAAAAAAAACTTAAAGCTTAAATTGTGGCATTATTTTGTAAATCAAACAGAACCGTCCTTAGTGGTTTCTTGAAATGAAGGTACGCTTGTTTTTCATATTTAAACAATAGGCTACTTCAAATTTATTCCATATTTTGTTTATGCGGGAGTGTTCAAGGCTACTGAGTTTCTCAAATTAATAAAGTTTAATTATTTATATACAAATAATTATCATTGGTTCACTAAACTCAGCCCGCTCCTCTCCATTTTGTGAGTTCGCCTGCTACTGTGTTATTTTGGTCAGACACCGAAAGGGTGCGAAGCGGAGAAATCAAATTCACTAAATTGTCAGAACTGACATTACCTTTCATAACGTTCGGCTTTGGTAAGCATAAATGATCTCCAAGTATATCGATTAATCGGTTTAATTTAGGAAAAGTGTATGACTGCATGTTGGAACTCCTCAATCAGCTGGGTCAATTTGCAATAGATGTATACAATATGGATTGGTCTCTATTTTTGAGTACGTATAATCCTTTATTAAGCCTTAACTTGACAAATTAATGGATTTTAGCCAATCCATATGTGACTGGTGTTACACTGGGTGTTATTATTTTCATCCCATTTGGCGAAGGACCACAGGTACCGATTAAATCAACCTCTGCGAAGAAGGAAGAGGACTAGTGATTCATGTATTCTTAGATACCTAGTAGAGCATTTCTTTTCGGTTTGGTTGATCATTTCGTGCCGGTAAATTTAGGGCGGGAAACATTTTTTGGTCTGGTGTTGGACAGAAAGTTTCAACAAAGATATCTATGTCATTATTTTTTCTAGTTTTGAAAAATGACAAAGTAAAACATTTACATTGTAATTCGCCATAACCGATATCAGTTTTGCACAGAAAGAAGTGATCACTTCGATGCTACTGAAAAATGGTAACGAAACTATCACAGATGAGCGTATTAACAGTCTGGAACAAACTGTTCAGAATCTTTCATCCATTCTGCATGAGCATGCACTTGGTTTCTGCGGAACACAAACTAAATAGAAAGGAGAAAGGTCCCTTTCTCCTAGGTTATTCTTACTGTGTTCTGAAACATGCATATACATTCAGCCTGCGAACAATTAGGCCAGTCATATCTCACTAGAAATCGCTAAAATTTAACGGCTAGTTCTCATTTTGATATTCTGTTAGGATCACTATCAGTAGTTTATCTCCAAGTTTGCATCATCGCAAAAGACCAACGCTAACTTTGCAGCACTCAAAAACCGCGAAATGTTCGTACTTGTTTTGGTTTTTTCAATATAAGTCTTAAACTACGCGTTTGATTAAACAAACATTTGCTATAGGTTTTTAAAGTGGACTAGTTGCTACAATTTCAGACCAGAACCAGTCCTGTAGGTTCAACATTTACCAAGATACAGCCCTTAAAAAATTGACAATTTTTTTCAAAAAAGTGAAATTTAAGATTTGCTCAAATTTCTCCCCAACATGGGGGAAAATGAACGGGAAAAGGCATGTTGTGGCAAATGTTATCTTTAATTTAAGCACAGAATGACGCCGATAGTTCACTCACAAACCGTAAAACTCCAAAAATAGGAAAATTTTTCGTAAATTTGCTCTGTTTAGTTGTTTTGGTTAATTGGGAGCGCTTATGTCGGCGACCCTGACAGAAAATGATTTACCAACACTGTCAAATGTTCTCAAACCTCAATTTCGAAGGTTTGTGCGCGAGAGAAATAATGTCGGTTTCGATGGGATGTTGTTTTATTTGTGAAAAAGTCTTTCTTTAATTCGAGAAAGTGAGTAAGGGACGTGGCCTACTGCAAAATAAACGATTTCTACAGGGGTTGATGTCAGTGTTCACGACGCATGCAGAAAAAGACACACTGTTGAAAGTAATGTTGTCGCGTCGGTTCGCCATGGTGGTGATCTCAACCATCGACATACAGTAGAGGATCAAGGGACTTTTCAATATCCTGTAACCTGCAGAACATTTTTCTCTGTGGAGACGAAATCCCAAAGGATTTCTCAAGCTCAAAAAATAACTGCCTGTGTCTCGACAGAATATTGTTCACACAGATGAAAATCTGGGCGTCTCCTTGAAGCAGCTGAATGTCGAGTAGATCACTGTTTTTATTAATTTTATTAATTTTAATTTAATTTTAAATTTTATTAATTTTAGTCTACTTTAACAACATGAATGGCCTAAATGTGCTGAGCGTGGGAACAATATGAAACCTAATGATTTTTTCGTAATCCTAGCAAAAACTACAGTTGAAATTTATTTTTCAAATTTTTAAAAATAAGTTTGATCTCGTTATTTTTATGCTAGAACAAGTACAAACCTGTAAATATCTAGGAACCACTGTAACAGATGATTGGAGAAGCTGGAAAGAAATAAAGACGCGCATTGGAATAGCATAAGAAACATTTATCCGGAAAACTAGAATACTGTTCAGCAAGTTGGACATGAATCTAAGGAAAAAAATTGCGGATGAGCAACGTGGACAATTAAAAAGAAAATGATTGAAGCTATGGAAATGTGGATGTGGAAAAGAATGCTTGGAAGAAAGTGGTCTGATAGGATTAGGAGCGAACAGGTACTAGAAAGAAAAGGAGAAGGAAGATCTTTGTATCAAACAATCGTTGGTGTATTCAACCACCGTTTCCTATTCTTCCCCATGTATACCTAAGTGTGCAATAATTTCTTTTAAAATTACCTCTAAATAGTATTTAATACTGGAAGATGCATGTGAGATTACCATGTTTTATTAATTTCATAAGTCCACTTTCAATCACAAAATCCAAATTATTTTTCAGACACTTTGTCTTCTTTCTCTAAGGAATAACTAAATGTATCTCTTATTCATTTTTCTAATATCTTTCCAAAAATTTAACCGATTTATTTCTCTGAAGAAAATTTTCCAGGGCAAACCTCATACCTCATACAACTATTAAAATACACTTCTTGCCGGGCATTCTGAAAATGTAGTGTTTGATTTATAATAATCTAATTAGCACCAAAGCCTTAATTTCAATTTATTAAATCCGTCAATGAATGCTTCTCGAATATTGAGTTGACTAAAAGAAGATCTCAAAATGCGTTTAGAGCCATTTTTATAATAAGGATTTAGCAAATTTCGAACGTACAATTGCCGATAAAGAAAAGTTCGAAACAAATTTTCCTGATTTTGCAAGATTCTTCTTATTCGACTTGCAGCGCATATTTACAACTAATCGAACGCAATTTATCGCTCAATATTTGCCTTATACTTAGCTTAGCCATTTCCGTATTTATGTGTAAAGGTTTCATACATATTCATCATAAAACGAAGGCTCGTTATCAAACAATTTTGCCCCCGCTTATCTTTTCACAAAATTGAAAACCATTAAAGAGCGGTGTATTGCTCGAGGATTATTGATAAATTCGTGTCAGAGCCAACATTTTGTAGGAAGATCACGTACAATACGCGGAGATATGCATTCAAATTAGGATTCGCATAGTAAACTTTTTCTACAAGATTTAAAGAGCTCGGAAGATGTACCACTATCCCCGAATACGCATTTCAATTTGAGAGTGTGACTCTTGAGCGATCACGTTGAATTGGGTAGCCTCCCCAATTCCTTTAACGCTTAATTAAACACATTGAGCGTATTTTGCAATATCAAAGTTTTAAATTAAGTCGTGGAAAAGTTAAAGCTAAAAGTTTCATAATTTTTGACACATAAAATATCCATTCAAGTGGGTTAAGATTTTAAGAAGTAATTTTCGCGTGTATGAGTATATAGTTAGTTCCATGTTAGCAATTTAAATTTAATGAAGTCTCACACAAACTGTTTAACTAAATTGCAATTTTACAATCAATGTATGAAAGAATGGCATCTCATTTGCATTAGGTATCTTAGTTTCATTCTGCTGAACTACACTGATAACGATAAGTACTCTACAGGGTGATTCCTATAGTACCCGCCACCGTTTGGGAGCGTATAGGGGGTGCCTAGGGGAGTATTTTGATATAGGACACTTGGGGTCGGAAATCTAAAATAAGGGCGCCAGAACCAAATTTATCTTCTGGAATTTCACGCCTGTATGTAGGCAACCCAACCGACCGACGTTTCGCGCGGAGCGATGCAGAGCGAGTTAGCGCGAGGAAGCGACATGGGAGGGAAGGAGGGAAAACGACAGTCAAAAGCAATAACGTTTACAAGTGTTCAACGTGGCCACCGTTGTTCTCAATGCACTTCCTACATCTAGCCAACTATTATTATACTATTGCCATAGTGTTTATTCACTTGATACGCGTCGTTGCAGACGGGATTTCGTGGGTTTAAACAAAATTCTGATCAAGTGTCAGCCACACATCGCCGCCTGAGATCGCTCCGTGTGCACCGCCGGCCGGTTGGGTTGCCTACCTACAGGCGCGAAATTCCAGAAGGTAAATTTGGCTCTGGCACCCTTATTTTAGATTTCCGACCCCAAGTGTCCTATATCAAAATACTCCCCTACGCACCACCTACACGCTCCCAAACGGTGGCAGGTACTATAGGAATCACCCTGTATGTACGCTAGTATGAAATTAATTATTATTGTTATTATTTTTTTCATTTGTTTTGCGGAAAATTCATAAAATCTACTATAATCACCTGATTGAAATAGTTATCAGTACAAATTTTTTTCAATTTAATAAAGAGGGGGGGGGGGCACATCGAATGGGATTGTATGGGTATCTTTGCTCTTGTTAGTATAAGAGAGAATTCCGATATTAGATCAAATCTTCAGTAGGCACTTTTGTATGCTGAGGGAAATTCAATTAAAAACAATAGCCTAAGTGGATTGATAAAGACACTAAACCTTCCCCATACTTCTTTTAATTATTTCAGGTATTAGAATAAAGGCATTAGGTGACAGCGACTATAGTTTCGACCCGAAGGTCATTATCAAGCTGAAATATTATAATTTGAAACAATGACTAACCTTAGGTGACCTACCTTAAGTTTAAGAGAACATATAAAGGTGGTTGAAAATTACATTTTAAAATGGTACATTTGGTTATCAATATGCTGTAAAACATGTGTTAAAAACAAGTCTAGAATATAGTTATACTTACGGGAAAAATTACTAATTTATAACATGGGAAACAATAACAATATTAACAATTTAAAAAACTTTTTGTCCTCACATATTATAAAACAATTGATTAAATTAAAGAAATTAGAAGAGACGAGATGGACACAGCCATCTTGACAAGCAATGTGAAATGTGCTAACTATAAATACGACAGGTTAAGTAACTGAAGGGAAGGGGCAAAAGCGGGAAACTTGAAAATTTGAAAATTAAAAAGGAATAAAGGGCCGAATTGGTTATGGGACGAAAAAAGAAGAAAGGTGAAAAGAATGTAACTTAGCTTACATTAGGCTATTGTTTTTTGATAATATTTAAATTTAATGGGCCAAAATACCCTGTCTCTACTGAAGGTAGTCGTCGGGACTCACTGACTGAATGGAAGCCCAAAAGTAACAACCCTGATCTGCTGAAGGCAGAAAAAGGGCAACGTAAACTTAAACTAGAAACGAAGGGCTGACAAGCGTATCGGGGTCGGAAACTACTTGGTGAGAAAATGCAAATTTTTATTTAAGTGAAGGATTTCATTAAGGGAGTGTTGAGGATTCGTCCTATAGTGGAGGTAAATCTCTTTCATTTCAAGAAAGTCCAATTTGAGACTTTTGTTACAAACAGGCAACATTTTGAAATCCGCTTTAGAAAACGAATGGCCTGAACTAAGGATGTGGTAAGCGAAGGAAGAACTGGGATTAGGTTGAACAGAGCTTATGTTGTTGTTCTTAATGGCAGTGATGTGTTCAGAGAACCGAATTTTAAAAGAACGACCAGTTTGTCCAATGTAACAAGCTGGGCCATCTGAACAAACCAGTTTGTAAACTCCAGACTTGGATAAAGGAGGTATTGGGCCTTTGGTTTTGACTAAGATAGAATTTAAGTTGTTCTTAACAGAGAAGGAAATGGAAACTTTGAGGGGACGGAAGAGACGGGCTATTATTTCAGATATGGGACCAATGTACGGTAAGGAGAAATATTTGGAAGGGGAATCGGGGGTCTGAGAGAGGGTGGTACGTCTGGATAGGAAGTCTTTCAACATCATCTTACGATGTAAATTATTGATCAATTGGAACGGGTAATTGTTCGCACTAGCGATTTGAAAAATGATGTCTAGTTCTTTCAAGTAAAAAGGTTCGGAAAGGTCAAGGGAAAGGAGTCTGTGAAAGAAGAATCTGAAGGAAGCAAGTTTGTGTGAGAGAGGATGACTGTAGTGATATGGGATAACATGGTCAGTGGTGGTAGGTTTTCGATAGATGCCGATTTCCACCCTCGAAGTGCCTCTAGTCAATGACAGGTCCAAGAAATTAATAGGCTTATTAGACTCAATTTCTAGAGTAAATTTGATATTGGGGTGAAGAGAATTTAATATTTCAAAGCACTGATTAAGCTCAGACCTATCACCCCCAAAGACCACAAGAATGTCATCAACATATCTTTTGTAGAAACGGAAATAATTAAAAGAAGGTTTAGTGTCTTTATCAATCCACTTAGTCAATATCACCCCGTTTTGAGTCGTTATAAGATGGATAGCTACCAATTAAAAACAATAGTTTCCAAAAAATGAAAATTTGATTATATTTGTTAAAAGGTAATTTATTAGCGGTAACACAGCATTTTATCAGGGAGAAAACTGCGTGATTTCATAGAAAATTGTTATCTGAGATAAGAGAATTCCGCGTAAAATTGGGATTCGCGACTTTAAAGAGCGTATAGGAACGAAGACTGGCTATCGTGTTGCTACGTTCCGTTAATTGGATGAAGTTTTTTGAATTGTGAAAAGAGAGAAGACCCGTTAAATACTGAAGAGGGCGTAAGAAAGGGGTCTTTCCGCTAAATTCGAGGTCGAGTTGCTGTTCGTTGAAAGCGCGTCGTGCGTTAGGTTTCGCATTGTTCGTTAGGTAAAGCTCATTACGTAATAATTAGGAAGTCAGCCAAGTTCGACTTAAAGTTTTAAGAAGACGTACGTAAAAGTTTGGAAGTTTTTATTTTATAATTGAAGCTGTCGTCTACTGTTGCCGGACAGCCGTCGTTTCATCTGTCGTGTGTTTGGTCAGCCAGTTTGATCCAAATTGAGTAAAATTACGTTCCCATGACCTGAAGAGACGATAAGTTAAAGAAAAACAAGTTAGTGCGATACGTGTCGCAATTAGTGGTTTTTTTCTCGAATTTTTTTGGGATTTTAACATAAAACTGTAAGCAGTTTACCTTTTAATTATTTTATTTAATTGTTGATCGAACGATTATGCGGGATGTGTAAACGGACCTAGTTGTAATCCGTTTCGATTGTTAGAATGTTATGATTAATTTGATTTGTGTGTCTAAAAGAAATTTTGATTGTGCGAATTCATGTAAATTCGAACCCTTTAACGTTCGAGATAAATGTCTCATTCTTAACTATGATTAATTTTGTAGATCCGTACTCAATGTTTAATTCAGGTGCCTACAAATTTGTGTAAGTAATCCTTTTGGAACTTAAGGAATCTGATCCCGGTCATTATTTGCTTTAGAATTTGAAGTCGAAATTGAAATTTTTTATTGTGACGGGATTCGGATGTGTCCTGGGAGAAATTTAATAAGGGAGCTAGCTAGGTTTAAGACGTTTTGTGTATGTTTCATTTTAGCCGGGCCATTGCACACAGCATTATTATTTACTTCTCCAACGTGGGGCATTGCATTTATTTTTTATGTGGCTCAAAAGTTAGTGTCACAGAAGTATCTTACCATAGGTTCATCTGTATTTTTTTGAAACTGAACCAATCGGACCCTCGTGACGTTTTCCATCTCCACCTCTCCATTGGTACCGTCGAGTTCTTCACCCCCATTGAGATATGGAAGTAGAGGAGGCGGTGTAACTCGCATTGCATCTTCACCGTAAATTTCGTGTGCCACCACATCGTGAGCCTGCAGAAGAGCCTGAAAAAGAAGACACAAGCGTTATTTATTTTCTTAAATTAACTGTACTGAAATATATAAAAATAGTTTTTGAAAGACGAGAAGTTATAGCTGTAGAATATTGATTTATTATTATATTTTTGTTTGTGGTAAATCATAGCGTAATAAAAAAATTAAGCTCAGCTTTCTTCTTTCTCGTGCACACTTATTTTTATCAAAATCAGTTCCAAACCATTTCAATCAAACATTTTTCTTTCACAATCAAAGATGGCAGAAGAAATCTTATTTTTGGAGTTTTGAGCTGTTGTCACGTTCATACATCAATCGCCAATCTACACAGTTTTGAAAAGTAATTGCGACATGAGCAAACCGCATCACTCTATCTCTTTTATTCTCAAAATATCCTCGAAAACTATCGAGAATAAGCAATTCGGAACACCCTGTACAAGACTGAGATACGCCATTATTTAATATAGAAACACAAAAAATAAGCTAAACAGGACGTTTCTGGTACAAACACACTAACAATAACTTTTCCAAGTTCTTTATTATTTCTGTCTACCATATACAGGGTGGATTATCGAAAACGGAATTGAACTATTTTCGGATATTGTAGGGTGTACGTCCTCACATTTTTATCCCGTAGCACTAAAACAACCTCTAAATTCTAAATTGTGAAATGTTTTGGATACCTACTACAATGATCAAATCTAAAAAAAATACGTTCCAAATTCAGGGGATGAAGGACCCAACAAAACATCCCTTCCTCTGTCACTTTGCCTCGCATTTTATAGACGTAGTAATCGTAGGTACCACGGCGAAGAAATTAGTGATTTGAGTTCTACCGTAAAAAGTCCTCCGTAAACTCAAAATTCGCGTTTCCGAGCGTTTTTCGTAAATTTAATTTAATTAACGGAGAGCAGCTCTTTGGTTTTCAATGCGCCACTGTGTATACAAACGTGTCACCCATTTAATGGGTTTCTCATTTCTGATTTGTCCGGGAAAAGGTTTTCATATGTACCTATCTACAATCAACTTAACGCTTGAAATAAAGGGCAATATTTTGAGACTAGCTTGGAGCAGGTGTTCAAGGGAGGACAAAAATATTTTAGTATACCTCGATATGGCGGCAGGTTGACTGCAACTTCCGGTTTCAAAACCTCTACACTGATTGATATAGCACGAGCTAAGTAACGAGTAAGTAAAAGAAATGCAAAAATAAAAATGTCAAGGATATCGCAGTAAAGACACGCGGTTACACTGCAATGTACCAAGAAACGTTGTGCGTAGAAATAAGGGAAGAAGTGAAATAATTCACCAGGCAGCTAGAGAATTAACTCGACCATCCAACTTTAATTTCACAAACGCTCGTTAGACAGTAAAATTTTACTTAGCGAAATAAATTGATCTCCATCTAAGCGGAACAATCTTTTTAATGTTTAGTGGCTATAATTTGTAGAATACCGACGTCCACCCTATAAATCAAATCGCTGAACAAACCGCACAATTTAGAAAACACACATTTTTATGCTCCACCGTACAAGATTCAATTAGTGCAGAAGCGTACTGTTTACGACTTGTTGCGTTTTGAATACAGATGTGCCTTCTTTAATCTTGCAGAAAACATAAAACACGGTTATGATTAACGAAGCTTATTTTCGTCTAAACCGCTTCTTTCCGCATGGAAAACTCACATTTCCGAAGCAGGTAGAGTGGTAGGTAGGTATATATGGTTAAATTGAGTGCTTCGTGCACATGAAAAAGTAACGTCGTTGGGGTTGATGGAACCAACCGGCCCGCATTTTTTATTTTTGGAGGATGCGGTTGAAAATTTTTTCTAATTTTCGGTTCGTTTACGACTTTTAACAATCAACTTTATTATAACACGCTGAGCGGGATCCTTCGAAATATGTTGCTTAAGCACATGCGAGGAATAAGAAAAGTACTTATAATCCATTACACTATCGTAACGTCACATTTTAGGATAGTTATAACCGTTTGCACCGACAAATTTAAGCGGACCTTGGCTTAAGAGTAGAGTAAAATCTATGGCAACGATTATTGAGACAATGGTTACGCTTAAATTTGTCTGTGCAAACGGCCATTAATGTTTTTAATTATAGACATAAAAATTTAATAGTGAAAGAAAATCTACATGCACTTTCAAATTAAATGAGATGAAGCATGTATTTATGGAATGCCCTAAAATTTAACTACGTAAGGGTAGCAGGGAAGACATATTTTAAATTCATAAACATCCTAAGTCAAGTCGTGACTTAAGGAAAAGTGATAAAATGTTAGACTTCGGGATGCTCGTCCTACTTACTTATAACCTAACAAATTGTGTGAAAGGCAAAACTTTGGCATTTGCAAGAACTGTTGTTTAGAAAGGACAAAAATCTAAAGCTTTGCTGCAGCTTTTGGCCAAATAAGCATTGGCATATATTATATTATAAATACATACTCGTATATAATATTATAATTTACAGTCTTGTTTAGAGATTTAGATCCTATTTCTTAACTTCGTTTTGTAAAGGGTGGTCTCTGTAGAATTAGTCATTTTTCGAATTGATATTTTGGTAAGCATAGGAAAATTTACACAAGTACCGCTTCATAGTGAAATTGAACAAAGATATGTCGGGCGATAACGTACCATATCAATAAACGTATTGCGCCAAGCGATCTCTACGGACCTAAAAGTTTCGCCCTGTTGTGCGAAAATCCGAGCACGTGACAGAAATGCGGGTTTCCTATGGGTTTTGTTATGTATTCGCTGGACAAAGGTTGTAGACTTCCTAATAACTTTTATTCTAACGATTGACAAACTTTGACCAATTTACAAAAATACAGAATACAGAATCAACAACTTATCTCTATGACATCAGCGCACCCTTATACAATTATTATAAATAATTTGAATACATATCAGGTTTAAAGGAGTACGCGGAGGAGTACTTGGGCCGGTATTATAAAGCCCGCTTGAACGGAGATTGGCGTTCAATCGTAGTTTGAGTGCGATTGCGCGTATTATAAACGCCGCTTGAGTCTTAACTAGAGTTCAATCTCCGATTGTAGTCGATCCGTCAATTTTCTCGGGATTTGGGGCCCAAACGGAGATTAGACGCGCGAACGTGTAAAGAATTAAGGTTATCATAACCAGTTTATTTTGTTTTGTGTCATTGTTTCGATTTATAACGAAATGGAAATAATTGAAATTGGATCTGCAAGAGGTCGGTTACTGTGGGCAGTAAGCGACGATGATTCTTCTACTCTTCAGCAGAGGATGAGTTCCTTAGAAGGAGAGCAGAAATTTTAACGAATGTGTTGATCATTTCGGCAAGTGGGATGAAGAGGAATTTGGGCAGAGATTTCGGTTATCCAAGGATATTGTTAGATCCCTAGAAAACAGGATTAGAGCACTAATTGCCCCCCAAACAAACATATTTTGCGCAACTGGGTGTGTTAATTAATTAATAATTGCCCATCAATGGTGAGGCTGTCGTCACCAGCTCCAGCTTCATTACCTGTAAGGTTTTTCACACAGAATGATTAGGGATATAGATGCAAACAAAAAACATATCTGATGATATCCTGATGCTTAACCTTGTTCTTGGTAGTAGAGGCGTCCGTCCCTTTATTTTCAAATATGACTGAACGCAGTCCGCTTGCTGATGGGCGTCCGCGTCCGTAAAAACCACTCGCTTTTTCCTTTGTCTGTCATTGGCACAGTGGCAGACAGAACAGCGCTATGTAAAACGATTTCGCAAGGGGATGAACAGATCAGCACAGTCACAGCGGCAGCGGCAAATGGCACAGAAACGAAAAGAACGAGCGGTGCGGACGCGATCGGTGCGAAGAACGTAAACAACATCATCACCTGTCAGCTGATGCATCGGCCACTGAAAATTCTGCGCTCTGATTGGTCCTTGGTTCGCCCACAGTGTTACCATCCGAGGGATCATAAACTCAAACGGAGATTCACCAAACGCTTTTCCAACGGTGTTTATAATACGAAACCGCTCTCAATCTTGGTTTGACGTTCAATCGCCGATTGATTAATCTCCGCTTAAACTGTGCTTTTATAATACCGGCCCTTAGTAAGTATCATAAATCTTAGAACGCATAAATAAGAGTATATTTAATCGTAATTTCCACCTAAGGTAAAAGTTGGCCATATGTTTTGTAAAAGCGTTATTGAACAAATTAATTGGCTTTATTTACTAACAACGCCACGTGCACGATAACAAAGGCGGGTGTTTATCAATACGGGCGACAAAGCGGCGTTTCGAGAATTGCCGTAGAACAACGATATGGAACGGATGAGTGGAGGTGGCTTGACCTAAAAATAAATGATGGTATTGGCGGGTCGATTGAAAAAGCGCATGTCACTGTTGCGCTAAATTATTGCGGCCAGTTAAAGAAATTGTGGTCAATAGTCCTCGTGCAGTTTTTGTTAAAGTGTTTAATTTTAAGATTCTTATCACCCTATCAGCCATTATGATTATTTGTCAACATCTTTAAACGAGTTATTGCGTTACCAACTTGACGTGTTCAACCAAAGGGAGTTTTAAAAACTGTCAGTTCTGTGTAAAGTTTTAGGTTTGTCGTACATCGTATTCCCATTACCCGAACCAGATAATTAGGATATAAATTTGACTAATCTGTGATTCCTTTATTTTGAGATCTCTTGAATTGATCGTTTTTTTTCATTTGCCCCTTTTGTAAACGGGTTGTGTGTATTAAAAAAAGGGTTGTTAGCCTTAACTTTTTCTTACAAATTTTTATATAAAATTGGTTTTATCATGATGTGTCTTAGAATAAATATCAATTAATTGTGTGTCAATTTGAATTTCGATTTGAGATCCAGGTAAAAGTTTGATTTTGCAATATTCTTTGACTTTGAGTGTTAATTTTAATTCAACATTTCAGTAGCGATTTTATTGGAATATACGGACGTAATTTTCAAACTTATAAAAATTTTGGTTAAGATTTTTATTAGTCAGAACGCAATCATGGCTTGA